ATTTTCCAAGTCGTGTTGCTTTATCAACAAGTGCCTAAGGGAGGGTTCAAAGGATTTGGATTGTACCTTCCTGAACCTGATTTTTACGTGGACGGTTGCATTCAGCATTTTGAAGAGTGCGGCGCTTACAAAACATGAAAGCAACGATAAGAGCCTGGACCCCGATAAGGTCGGTACCCAGGCGACGATGGCACCTATGCAATGAATGTCGTGTTCCTAGAGGTTTTCAATTGAAAATACTGCACAATATGTTAAAAGTCAATTTCGAAAATTCTACCATAGAGTTAATGCTCTATGGTAGAGTTCAAAGCATTTTTCTTTAGACCATATACCTTCAGGATATTAAGTATTTGTGGTAAAATCTGCAAATCTCTAGATTGTCATTTCGCGCAATTTGCGCGGGACTCCGCCAGTTCGTCCATATTTTGTTAAATGCAAAGTGGCAATCCTAGTTGGTAGTTTTACGGATAGCGCCCGCGGTCCTCGTCATTTTTTTCTTCCATCTATGAATCATGGATTATTAAATTTTTCTGTCGATCCTGTCGGTGCGTTACGAGCTGCTGAACGAAAGGAATGACCTCATCTTGGGAATGGTCCTCTACTTCCGAGGCCGAGTCGTCTTTCCTTTCTCGAATTCCTGGAATTCTTGGGGAGAGCGGGATTCATCTCGATTTCCATCGAAATTGCTGGACTCGTCTCTATCTCTCACTCTGCAGAGTCCATGGAATGAGGACGAATGACTTGCATGCGTCAGCGTTTTCGTGTTTCGACGGGAGTTAAACTGTGACACCTTTGGTCACCGCAGGAGATGATGGGCATGTATGGAGTCTATTCTCGTGTCTCCAAGAATGTTTCGTCTCAGGTGAAGTTTCTCTTGCAGTGTCAAGTACTGTTTTTAAATTCTCCCCAAGACGTGTACAGGTTGCATCGAATCTCGTAGCATGAAATCTCGTAGCGTCCCTAGCACCGAAAACACCTAGCAGCCAAAACGAGTCGAATCAAATCGTGCAACGTCAAATTCATACAGTCCCATATCCAGGACAAATACAAAAATAAACTATAGGCCAGAGTTTGGATGTTGAATATTGAGTCGTGACCAAAAAAGTTTGGGAACCACTGCTATAGGCGATACAAGAGGGCTGCAAGGGCTCCAACTCCCTTGGAGAGGGAGGGTGACCGTCACAACACCCGCAATGGCAAGGGCCGTGTTTCCCACGTCTGCCATCTAGGTTATCATTCTCGAATTACACTGGCTCGTTCACTCTAGCTAGCAAATGGAGCCATTAGTTACGTCTATGTTGCGAAGAAACTACCAATAATTATAAATGCAACGAGTAGATGTCACTCAACTCCAGGACCCACTATCGTTTTCATGCCAAGTGATTCGATGTCACGAAGTTTTGACGCTATGTGATTCAAAATATTTTCTACTCTTTCTCAAAAAAAGGAGAAAGAAAGAAAAAAGAAAAGAAAAAAAAAAGTATTTTTTCTTAAAGATCTCCATCCGGTATCGTGCAAGGCTCACGGTTTTCGGCACATGCCATATCAGGTGAACGAAGAAGATTCCTGTCGAGTGGAAAATAATTTTACCCAATGCTTCCAATGCAATGAGTTTTCGAAGCTGAAGTATGGAAAATCGCAGTGATGGAGCAATCTGCGACCCGGCAGTCTCACCCATGAAATTTCATTAACTTCTATTGAAATTGCACGATGAAAATGATGAAATTTTGTTTTCATCATGTTCATTGTTCGATTAATTGTGATCCGTTCGTGACCAATTTATTCCAGTCTTGATATTTTCCTCCTTTTGGGTTTTATGCGTCCTGCCGTTTCCACGTCTCTGCCGATCGACACAGTTTTAGCAATTTATTTCAACAATTTTATCAAAACCGTGATGTGACCTATTTTCCCCTAATGAATTTATTGTCGAACTGGCGTGAGCTGTACCCCTTCATCTCTCGCAAGCAACCGATTAGGTGCTTCTCGTCACTGAATCCCATTATGTTCTTCGCAATTTTAAATACCAGACGAAATACCAGGTTAAATTTAACCTGAACCTATAGTAACTGTGAAAACGGTGACCGTCGCAGCCATAAAGTCGCATACATCTTCGGACCAAGTGCAGTTTCGTCGCAGACATCGATCGTCGCACTTCGTCGCACAACTTCCCTTGTCGCGTGGGCATTTCAGAGTGAGATGATATCGTATGATAAGGACTGGACCCACGCAAGGCACTACTGATGACTTCCTTGATAAGAGTTCTAAAATACACATGTCGTCAATCGCAGCTCATGAATTTGTAAAGAAGTCATAAATACTGTAGATATCAGAGCCCTCCTTCGTGTATGCCACACCCAATTACCTTTACGGCTCGGTAGCTCACAAAGGTAGGCCTATGCTTTGTCGTGGTCACATTGTCTCTCTAGAACGAAAAGTCACCTTTCCGTGTCCGGTTTTCCATCCCTGTGGATGAACGTTTCTCGAACGGGGATTCGCCGCAGGGGTCCGTGGCGAGGTTTCAGGTGGTCCGAGAAACTCCAAGCAAAAAATGATTAGCGGGCAAAATGAAAATTTTAAATTCTGAAAGTAGTCTTCAGCCAACTTTTACATTTACTTTCTTCAAAATTATAAGCTCTAATTTTATGAAGGGGGTCAGTGCAGGTCCTCTCCGTTTCGAAATTTGTCCGCAGGTTAAAAAAAGATTGAGAACCACTGCTGTAGATAATTTGACCCATTCCGGTCTCACGTACATGAAAACTCAAATTTACATATGAACGGTGTGGTTTAAAAAAACGCCGAAAACGACAGATACATATTCCCTACCTTCCCTTTCCCCTCCCCGACCGATAGTAATCAGGAATTCCAGTACCCCATTCTTTCCGACGATCTGTGTCTGCGACGAAATAGTGCAACGACGAAACGGGCTTGCGTCGTCCGCATCAAACTGTCCGCGACCAAAGCGTTGGTCACGAGGAAAACACGGCAAGAGGTATGGAAAACCAGTTTTTTCGCTGCCAGCTGTCCACGCTCAGTCATGCTGGAGCGCCCTCGAGGGATGCACCTGGCGAGGAGCAGTGGAACATCCGTCGTTCGCTCCCGTTTTTTATATCAAATTTTCAAAGTTATTGCAGTTGAATCAATTGTTGAGATTTTCTTAAACTTTGCAGAAATCCTTAACCATCTAAAATTTCATGTACTGGAAAATTTGAGGCACATATGACAATCGGATGGAGATAATTACAGTGGCGTAGGCAGAAAATCGGCAAGGGGGGGGTTGAGGCCAAGTAGACACCCCAAGCCTACGCTTAGTTCCACCTCCCGGAATTTACCTTTTTGAAGAAATCGTGGTCTGGCATCAGGGCCGTTTCTAGGGGCGGGCGAAGCGGGCGATCACCCGGGGCGCCAGCGGAGTAAAGGGGGGGGGGGGGGGGGGGGCCATTGGAACTGCTTGCCCTGGGCGCCAACATCTCCAGAAACGGCCCTGTCTGGCATCTTGGGTCTGTGGATGGACATTGGACTTTCCTCGGAAGGGGGATAGCTAAAACTGGAATTCCCAAGGAAGGCTGAAATATGCCTGTCTGTCACTGACCAGGAAGCCCAAGGTTCTGACCCCCTAAACCCCCCCCTTCCCTACGCCACTGTACTTAGAAAAATAATAAAGTGGCTTTCTTTCTCTTGAGACACCGGTCTCCTGAGACCGTCCCATGCTCTCGACGCTACGTGACATCTGGCTCCGGAACAAATTTGACCCTGAGGTTTGTTGCTGTTTTTATCCAAACTGAGTGCCATTTTTTGGTCCTGTATGTTTTGGCGCAACAAGATTTGGTACCACGAGGCACTCCTGGTCCCTCTGGCTACAATGAGCACGAGAGAAGTACCAGGATTCATGTAAAATACCTCTATAATTACAGGGTGTAGCAAAAGAACGGGATACACATGTCATTCACAATCTTACTGAGAATATTACTGGGTACTGCCTGAATTTCAGTTCTTATGTTCTCTTCAAGTTCATCAATTATGCGCGGTCTGTTCGCGAACACTTGTTCTTTCAAATAGCCCTACAAGAAATAATAAGGGGGATTAAGACATGACATTTTTACAGTAGCATTTTCCAGGGAAACAGATTTCGAAATTTGGAATGGCCCCCTAGATCTCCTGAGTTCAGACCCCCTGATTTATTCTCAGTAAGGTTGTGAATGACAGGAGTGTCAGAGCACGAGAATTGTTGCCCCTGGTAGTGATTTGACTGAAATTATTTTCAAAACCTAGTGCATCCATTATAAACTCCCAAGTTTGCAGTTAACAAATGTTTTTTGAAATATGTAAAAATGTTAATCCATCACATATATATTTCATTTTGAAATGAATCCTGTCCTTTTGCTACACTCTATATGTAAAACTCACCCACGACTGCACTCAATTTATCGCAATTGGAACGCTGCTATTTCATGCTGGACTCTGGGCAAGGTAGAAACAAGTTGACGGAAACCTCATTTCCATAGATTGTCCGTCAGGGCCGCCCAAAGAGAGGGGGGGGGGGGGGGGGGGGGCATCGGAGACAATCTGCCCCAGGCCTTGCGTATCAAGGGGCCTAAGGGGTCTCCGGTTTAGTTTTGCCCCGGGGCCTCTAGAAACCTCTGGTTGGCCCTGCCGTCCGTAATTCCACCTGTGATTACAATTCTCGTGTGTCCAACTTAGCTTGCAGGCAAATCCCTTTAAGTCCCACACCATCTTAGTAGTCCAACTTCAAACTTGAAACCCCTTCAGTGCATTACATCAACTTTGCTGGCAGGCCTCTAGAACTGAACACAATCGAAATTAGATCTTATACCTACTAGTTCCGTAAAAAAAATATGGCAGAAAGGCACGCAAGCTCTAATTGAGGATTGATTGCAAGATAGTATTACAGATGCTGGCATGTTTTTGTATAGTTGACCTTGCAATCCCTCCAAGTTCATTCAGTATTCAACTCCTGGAAAAAGATGAGAAGTGGAGAGAAGTCTCAAACTCAATACATGCATTTATTGCATCACTCATTTCATTAACAATAATGAAGAAACGACAGGGGAATCGGGTTGATAAGGCAACACCTTTCCTCCAATCAATACCATCACACAACCAGACAACCGATTTGGGATGCATATTGACGGAGGTGCAGCATTGTCAAAGTGCATCCCAAGACACGAAACAACAACGGAGAAGCACACGAGGAATGGCTGGGGAATCCATCGTGCGAATATTATTTATGACTACCCTGACAGGTTTGCATACTCTTCTGACTCATGCTCAACGCAAAAAAAAAATTTAGGCCTCATACCAAATTAGAGTTTCTGTGAAAGAAAAACTTGAGCTACAAAATTCATGGCTGCTGCACACATACTGCAGCACTTAAAAAAAAATTATGGAATCAACAGCTGAAATTGATATTCAAAGCAAAAAATAATCTGAACACTTTTTGATCAGCAATAGGTGAAAAAAGCAGTGAATGTAGAACAATCTCATGGCACCCCTTCTTCCAAACAGCAACAACTGTTGTAGGTATCTTTCAACTCTTATGACGCAAACTTTGAAGTGAATAAGAGGATCAAATAGATTTTTAATGGGAATATGGGGGCTTGTAGTCACAACAACCATGAGACCTCAAGTTTTACACCAGCACAGGGATTTGTACTCCTCAACTAGGATACACAATGCAATATAAACGCTCACTCACACTGACTAGTTTCAAGTGTGCAAGGTTTCCCAATCATTTTACTTTGCCTAGCTTAGAGAATAGGGAAAACTGTTTAGAATCATGCTCTTGGAACCTTGAGGCAACAACTTCAGGGCCAAATACCATACACTCTAGTATAAGACCTAAGGGTAATAGTCTCAACAAAGAGGATCTCCAGTTCTTTCATTTTCATACCCTGCAGAATGATGGCAAGATTTCGTACTTGTAAATTGTTGCAAAAAACTTAATCCAGTCCTATACTTCTGGATGTGAGAAATGACAAAATTTCCCATGATCAACGTCACACATCAAAATGTTACTGAGATGCTCCAACCATGAAAAACGAGACAAAATCATTGTGGATCATTGAGGTATCACTGATTCACCCCAGTACAGTACTGCTGCCCAATGCTGCAAATATGGCACTAATCCCTAGCAGTTTCCTGAATATTTCCATAGAGCAGTCCTTCATAGACTAATGTCTCAAAATCTTAGAATAATTTGAGTAATACTCCCAACTGATGAGAACAACCTCATTCACACAGTGTAATTTTCTTAAATAAGGAAATATGGATAATTATGCTACCACCATTTCATGTCGGCCAGTCACCAACAGGAAAGTGGGAAAAAGTTGTTAAAAGCTCATGATGACAAGGAGCTGATCTTGTAGAAGCTTTTGAATAAATTCTCTGAAACTATGCAAGGGCCTCTTTGTGAAGGCGACTTTAGAAGGAGAACCAATTCCCTCAGAGGCACAAAACTGGACTATCATGATGCACTGACCTCTTATCCCTTTTTTTTGGTACCAGGTATCATGTGGTATTATGCTAGATTCAAATTGGGGAAAGAATAACTTTGAAGCTAGCACCTCATGTTATATGATCGACTGGACATGGGTTGGGTGATCAGCTTAGCACAAAAGGACAACACGACACAACATCATAGCACTACGCACAGCCATGCTCAGCACTCTTCCCTGAAAATAACTGGAAGCCTTCACAAACTCAAGAAATCTACTGATTCATGAGAAACAACTGATTCACTTAATTGGATCTGGAGTGATAAGCACGGCTGGACATGGCTACAGACAGGACACCATCAACACAACTGATAATGAAGAACCCGATTGGGCTAAGTAACTAATCAAGGCTGCAGAGACTTCTTTCTCTTCTGCTTTCCATAAAACAATAATATCACAAGTGAAGAGAATGACAAGGGAATGGGGGAGATATGAGGATAGATATATAAGAGGGAACACTATCAAGATGAATTTGAAATTTTTTATACTTTCAATTTAGTAGGAAAGAGGAATAGGCACAGACATCATGCCTAGTGCCACAAAACCACAATTGACTGCAGCAAATGTAGACAAAAAAATAGAAATAAAAATGAATCAAGCAGAAGAGCACTTGATCGTTGATAAGAATTGGAGGCAAATGATCCACAGTTCAACAACATGGGGAATGGATGAGGAAGAAAGGAATGAAAAGGAGATATAAAAACTCTCCCACATCACTACAGGAATGTGTGGCTGAAATCAAGTTGAAAAAAAAGTCCAATGATACCACAAAGGGAAACAAAGTGGCATGGTGGAAGTGGTTCAAGGGAATGGAACCAAGACTTGAACGTAGGAGACAGGAAAGATCCCCGACCGACCATGGACAGTGCCACGGTACCAGTTGTCATCCAGCTTGCAATCCAACTGTATCATGTCTCCCTCCTGAAAGCATTAGTACATATTTAGAGAGAGGGTTAAAAAAAAAGTAGTAATATATATTTCACTAGAAGAATGGAACAACATACATGACAGAGTCTCATTGACATGAAAAACCTTGTGACTTACTTTCCCTACCCAATAAGACAATAAGGTAAGCACCCCAGTTTTGGCCACACTGATACAACTCCCATAGGAAGTGGACACCCTGTGCACACACACCAGGAAACACTAGTAATAGGTACATGTATGGCAATATGTTGACAGAATGCTTGAAAACGGCCAAATAAACTAATTATGCTGGATTTAAGCCTCACTGGCCAACAGAACCAACCGGCCAGAAACTGGAGTGCTTACTCTATGTATGTAATTTTTCACATTTCTCAGAGCTCTCAAGGATGCATTGCAAATGACAATTAAATTCCTTCCCATGCAGAGTATCCCATGATAGACCATAGGTAATACAGTACTGAATGCTCTCCTTACAAGCCTCCCCATAATGTAAAAAATGTACCCTCTATCATGCAAACTAAACTTCACTAACATTTCTGTAGAACAGGCATGCAGATAGAAACATACTGAACAGGTTGATTTGGGAGATGCTGCCTTTCCACTTAATTCATTCTAACAAGCATTCTAGCATCTTTTTAGGGAACACGGACTTACTTTGAAAGTAAGTTCTTCAGGATTCTCAGCTTCGAAGTCATACAGTGCCTGACAGCAAGGTTGTTTGCTGTTCATGGGACTCCTTGATGGACTGGTGATAGGAGATGCTGAGAAAGGCAAAAGGCATCATCCTTCTGGTAAAGTGATAGTGATGGAAAAGTACTTTATAACAAAAAATAAGGCATCATGACAATGGCCTCACAGCTGTTGAAGACTGGTGCTGATGGAGCAGATGGAAATGGATCCCAAGCATTATTTCCAGCTGTACCATTTGACCCTACAAGAGCAAATACACTGGCATGAACCACAAAATTCCTCCCTTTGAAGCAAAGCTTCTAGGCAGTCATGCAAACATGATGCATGCAAAGAGGGGTGGGGGTGCTCCCACAGCAGAGAGAAAGTGAATAGTGCTCTAAATTTTAAACACAGGGAATACAATATCAAGGAACTTAACTGTACTCAAAGTTTAATTCAATGTGGTGAAAGTCAATGAATGGAAAGTGAACTTAAAAAGTTGCCAATTACAAATTTTTTTAAATAACCCATTTACAATTTTTCAAGATATAACATTTTCCACCAACATTTCATCCAAAAAGGAGAACTACCCATAACCAGGGATGCTACATTCCACTGAACCCTTGTTTTTTTTTTAATATTAAAGAACTACAGTATTTAGTTTAAATTACAAAGAAATGCAGATGACGCACTTGACATTAACAGTCCAGAACAAAGACAATGATGTAAGCCTCTGCAATACAGAATGCAATGACGTTTGTTATCTTATCAGTGAAGGGCAAGGCTGAACACAAATGCATGGACATTCCACAGCACCATGACTGACATACACAATGAGATGTCAGGAAAGCTAATGAAAGCATAATAGAATAAGGTACAGGCAGAAAGGAAAGAACTCAAGAAAGACATTCAGAAGGACAAGAAGGCATGAGATCATAAAGATCCTGTGCAACCTCATGCATGATGTGCAAAGACTCTTCCAGGTGCATTTCATGCATGCAGAGAGCTGATGGAGGAAAAGAGATGGAAAAAAAGGAAGCAGATACCAGGAGCAGGGGAATGTGAATCGAATGCATCAGATGAAGGGAAAAGATTCTGAGGAGTTGAAGTTGGGGTGGCAGCTGGGGACCGTCCCGGGGAGCCTAACGGAGATCGCCCTTTCAACCATAACCGGAAACAAGAGGGGAGAGGGAAAAAGAGAAGAGAAATTAAGATCCCATCAGATGCTGGGAGGTTCCTGGAGAATCAATTTCAGATATTCTCACTCTTAAATTATTATTCTTATGCAAATGCAACGACCCTCACCACTCACATCCTGGACCTATGCTGTTCCCACTCAGGAAGCATCCAATAAGATCATCTGGCCAAAGTAATTCATCAGTGACAAGTTTCAAGATCCAATTACTCTACCTTTGGATGGTTTAGACAGTACCACCTGGAAAAGTTACATCATATACCTCATCCTCCATGCACAAGTAGAGTAAGTTCATAGAGGTAGTCATATCATAATGTTGAAAACCTAAGTTTTTCCTTACACTCTTTCTTCTAGTCCTGGTAAAGCAAGAGTCTGGTCTTCTGAATGCACACATCACATGAAGGTTCTAGATTTCTCTAGACTAGTCTGACTTCTCAAAATCATCCCAGGTGTTTATGCAGCTTACACTTATTCTCTTTGTGAATGCATCCTAGGAACAGGTCTACCTTACAACTGGAAAGCGATTCATGAACCTTAGTCATAGGGAAGATACTGCCAAGTTCAACATGCAAAACCCCTAATCAAATCATGAATAGAATCATTTTAACTTGGTTATTATGAGAAAACGTGGACCTAATTGCCACCCAGCTTGTGAACATTCTTGGTCATACAATGCAGTCACTCACAGCAAGCTGTACTTGGCACAGGCACCAAAATTCAGTTCAAAATGCCATCAAAGCCATGAATCTACATAAATTACAGTATGAGATAGTGCTGGTTAGTGTGCATTCAACAGCAAGGTCAGTAATAGGTGGGGCACACATTCATCAACAAGACAGTTACTATGACATTTAAATTTTGCCATCTTCACGTTTCAGGTAAATTATTTGCATTTCCTTTGTTATTTTGTTTAAATAATCATATTCATGGGTGATGCCTGTGACAAAGACTATGAACCAGGCCAAAATTGATCAGTTTAGTGCATGAATTCATAATAATAATTGCTTTATACATATAATTTTAATGTATGAGATGGCAATTATGTACACACTTCAGTCCCACATTCTTATACAATTTTTGGATGCACTATGCACCTGTCCATGATAGTAAGAAACACTACACTGAAGTGAGAGGACAGTGCTTTTGCTGGCACCAGACTAGGCCCAGAAAAAAGGCTTATGCTGGATATAAACAGTACTAGATCAGTATGACATTGCAGAAACATTTGTCAGATCTACCATTCACCATTTCTTGAAAAATCTCAAAGCACACCAATGCCTTAAGTTTTACATTAAGGATTGGTATGTCATTGAGAATATGTGAGAAAATGAGTAATATGTGTAATTCCAGAATATTGAAGCTATATAATGTTATTTCTATCAAGCTACACCTAGCACTGTTTACAATACACCTTCGAAAGAGCCAAGACAGTGTGACAAATCACAAGTAGAGAATACCCTGGCTTGGGTAAATGGATATGGTGCCAGCAGAAGCAAGAGTGACAGAGTAAGTGCCAGTGGGATAGATACAGGCAGAGGACCAGCTCAACACCACACACAACACCCGCATTTGAGTCGAGATAGAGACATAGAGACTTGTTAAAGCCTCTATGAAACTTTGGGGGAAATAAAAAAATAATTGTGTCCGAAGCCAACAAAACTAAGTCAAACAGAACACATACAAGACACAAAGCAAGCAAAGATATCAGTTAATTGGTTAACAAGAAACAACCAAAGCAGATGGGGAAAAATAAGGTGCTTAGTCACCATAACTAAAATGGGAAGAATGGGATGAGCTCGAGCTTCGGTTGGAGTATGAGTTCATGGCAACAGAGGATCTGTAAGTAGAGCTGTGGCCACGTTTGGCATGTTTTGAGCTGGCCCTACCTGTACGTCCCACCACTGAATGGTAGGATGGGGGTGGGGCCAGGTCCCCATTTTGTAGACGCCCACTCGTACCATCAAAGTTGATATCAGGAATCGTCAGCTTCAGGTCGTTCAGTGTTTTCGGCACAAAGTCTTGTCTGGGACGAACAGTTGCTTCATGTTTCCTATGAGTTCATGAAAAAAGTAAAAAGTCCATATTTAATTTGAACAGCTGAGTTCCTTCAAACTTCATCTGAAATGACATACAACTACATATTGCCTCAGTGCTATTGATTGGCTTTCTCATATCTAGTTTGAGCTACCAGTATATGGTAAAGGAGTTCACACAATTACACAAATCATCTTAAGTACTTCTTATCATCTTCTCTAGCTACAAATAAAGCATGAGCCAATTAAAGCAAAACCATGCAAGAACAAAGGAGCAGAGGACAATAAATATCAGTTAGTCATATGGGGGAGTTACTTGTAATTGATTGATCCCATTTCTAGTAATGGAACTTTTTTTACATCTAAAAGTATTCAGTACTTAACCCCTCAGGCTAGTTTGCCATACCTTGTACATGTGATGGGATATATGAATAGCACACAGTTAGCAATTTAAATACCAGCTTGAGGTGTTAATACTTCTTAAATGAATTACCTAGCAAAATAAAAGGTGATATTCCTAAGGTTCCTATGCAAGATAATTTAAAAAACACCACAGAGCATGAATCTTACTGATTACATAAGTCTGCAATAGGGTAAGAGAACTGTTCATTTTTCAAAGGCAATAAAGAAACAGCAAAATGGAAGTTTCCAACTTTTCTAGGATTCGTTCATGGAGTCCAGTGAGGACGTCGGAACACTGTCGATGATACTCAACTAGAGCCTCAGTGAATGCAGCCAGCTGCGAAATGAGCTCCACCTATGAGTCAAGAATAATTCCTCATATTTCAAGAAAACACTCAATCCCATAATCACAAGACCTAATGATCTCTTCTCTCAAGAAGGGAAAAAGGATGAAGACCAGGGAGAATGCTCACATCATTGTCCAGGAGATTATGCATGCCAACTTGGGCCAAGTGCATAGACTCAGCAAACTTATCCATTGCCAGTTTCAACTCCTCATCTGTGATATTGGAGCCTAGAGGAAATGTGAAAATTATCCATCAATCTTCTCAAGCAAAGTCAGCTCCTTGAAAGAAATCAAAATATTCTCTTCTTGAATTCCCATTCCATGTGTTAGCTTATAAAACCCAAATAACTAATTTCAAGACAAATACAGAAACAGACATTCTATATTCAGTAATCCACAACCCAATGCCTCAAAAGAAGATATATTCCTTATTTTTGCCACCCTCCCATCAAAACAAATCAATGACACAGATAATAGGATATCTAAGATTAAAAATAAAAATGATTATATAGAACATATTAATCCATTATCTTATATACAAAATATTTAAAACTTCTGAGATGCATCACGCTGAGTAGTTTCATTTCCTGGGTAAACAGGAAAAGACATTCCTATCTGAACACAAATTGCTAGGAATTCTCATTGCTTTCCTACAACAATTGGGCATGATATTAGGTTGGTGCAAAAATAATTGCGGTTTTTGTTATTCCAAACTTTGATGCTTATTTTGGAATAAACTTTTATTTAACTATGTTCATGTAATATACCATGTTAAAGCGCGGAATTCGCTCTACTGATTTATGCTAATGGTTTGTTTTCGCTGTTTATTCTTGTTTATTTTAGGCTGTGATATTAAAGATGGAAAAAAAGCAAATTCGAGCGATTCTATTGTATGAGTTCAAAATGGGACAAATTCCATTGGAGACTTTCTCTTACCCATCAGTTTTGTAATCTTCAATCATGTAATTGCATGCATTATATATAATATATGGTATGGTAAATATATATAAAATTAAAAAACAATGTATGAAACATAAACATTTAAATTATAGCAAAAGACCTCAAAAATGCAAAATATTATATTAGGTTGGTGCAAAAATAATTGCGGTTTTTGTTATTCCAAACTTTGATCCTTATTCTGGAATAAACTTTTATTTAACTATGTTCATGTAATATACCATGTTATAGCGCGGTATTCGCTCTACTGATTTATGCTAATGGTTTGTTTTCGCTGTTTATTCTTGTTTATTTTAGGCTGTGATATTAAGGATGGAAAAAAAGCAAATTCGAGCGATTCTATTGTATGAGTTCAAAATGGGACGTAAAGCAGCAGAAACTGCTCGCAATATCAACCAAGCATTTGGCCAGGGGACCGTCAAAGAACATACAGCTCAACATTGGTTCCAAAAATTTCGTAACGGAGACGAGAGCCTTGAAGATGAGGAGGGTCGCGGACGTCCTTCTGCGATTGACGACAACCAATTGAAGGCCATTATTGAAGCAGACCCACGCAAAACAACTCGAGAGATTGCAGAAGAACTAATCGTTGACCATTCAACAGTTGTTCGACATTTGCACTCAATTGGAAAATCAAAAAAGCTCGACAAATGGGTGCCGCACGAGCTGAACGAAAATCAAAAAGTTCGCCGTTACAAAGTCTGCTCTGCGCTTCTTTTGCGCAACAAAAATGATCCATTTCTTGATTGCATTGTGACATGTGATGAAAAATGGATTGTCTGCGACAACCGACAGCGTTCCGCGCAGTGGCTGGATCGAGGTGAAGCACCAAAACACTTCCCCAAACCGAAGCTGCATCAAAAGAAGGTTATGGTCACTGTTTGGTGGTCAGCAAGTGGAATCATCCACTACAATTTCTTGAATCCCGGGGAAACCATCACATCAGAGAAGTATTGCCAGGAAATCGACAAAATGCACCAAGAACTGCAACGTTTACGTCCAACATTGGTCAATCGAAAAGGACCAATTCTTCTCCATGACAACGCCCGACCACATGTCTCGCAAATGACTCTGCAGAAATTGAACGAATTGGGCTACGAAACTCTACCTCACCCAGCTTACTCACCAGACCTCTCTCCGACCGACTATCACTTTTTCAAGCATCTCGACAACTTCCTGCAAGAGAAAGTTTTTAACAACCAAGCAGCAACTCTCATGTGACCCTACTCCAACCAAGTTCAAACAGCCCTAAAGGGTTGGAAGGCAAGAAGGTTGCTTGTTTCTACTCTTTCACTGGTCGCATAGCCAATATACCTCTTAGGGGTCAAAAGACTGACCTTGAAATGGTACACAAAATCCTGTCTCTCAGAGGTGTTCAAATCACTGAAGAATCAGAGGCTAAAGTCATAATTGAAATCATGGATGCTCCATCATGACAATGCATTGCCACACCTGCCCTTACGTTGCATTTCCTGCATCAGAGTGCTCCCACACTCACTCCAAGGTCCAGACCAGGCCCCATTTGACTTTTTTCTCTTTTCAAGAGTTAAAGAATCAGTTCATGGACTGCATTGTCAGTGTCCAGAAGAGACAGTTGCTGAATTTATTTTAGTGATTTTTGGTATCGCAGCACCTGAGTGGAGAAACTGATTAGAGAAATTATTCACACTGATGAGAACGTGCATCATTGCTCAAGGAGACCACTTTGAAAAAGTGTAATGATTGAAGAAAACCAAGCTGTTTTCTATTTTCTGAAATCCAGAAACTTCAGAGTGACCCTTGTAATACATGGTGTTCATTTTACCAGTTAACCCAAAGTAATGCAAATAAAAAAGGAACTATAAATCAGAGATACCTGCAACTTGGTGATATGGGAACCAGGGCATTGTAAAGTGCAAAATGACAATCACAGTTGCAACATATGTTGGAAGAGGCCACTGCCAAGTTTAATACACAAGTGTGCACAGTGAAGAACATTGTTCATCGCTGAATTATAGTTCCTTTTTTGTTTGCATTTCTTTGGGTTAACTGGTAAAGTTAATACCTTGTATATTCCATTTGTAAGAAATAGGAAATGAGTGAGATGGACTTACATGCTTAGAGAAATTCTGGAGTGAGACTGCTGTATTTTATTAGTGGTGATTTTAACAGGAGACAGTGCCATCAAAGGATTTGACACCAGAGGCTGTGCCATTGAAGTCTGTACAATCAGAGACCACAACAATTACCATGGGGAATGGAAATGGAGATGGAACCAGGCGCAGGTTAGCCTACCCAGTTCAATTTCAACTTTAGTTCATCTGAGTTGGTACTGGCTACATTAGAAAAGAAAAAACTGAATACTTGGTATCTGTTCTTAAATTTCCTTCAGGAGGACATCATTAAGTATAATTTAAGCCCTTCCTGGATTTCAATTAGTTGCCAAGGTGAATCAATGAGCTGTTTGTAACTGAACCTGACTAAACTAAACCAAACTAAACTAAACCTAGAGCTTCAGGAACTTTTTTTTTAAACCTAATAGAAGGTTTAAAAAAAGTTTCCAGCAAAAATCCTAAAACCCCTTGAAAAGTGTCTTCAGTTTAGAAGAAAACAGCACACCAGGTTGAGCTAAGTGGTTCTAGTGGCCTTGAAATAAGGTTCTCTGAGCTCAGCTGGTAAAAAAAAATTATTATAAATACCTGCACAAAATATTTGAAATTTCAAGTCTTTGTTCTATGGATGTTGGCAGAAAAATATGTTAGGGTTCTGGGAGTGAACTTGACTTAGTATTGTCAGAATTTCGCTCATAGTGCCTTTGCCATGAATGCATGGAAAATTGTATCTGATTTGAAAGAATTTTTTTTTCCCATTAGGAACGGAAATGGGGCCCGTGATCACCTAAGGGAGCAGAACCCTTGTCATTCCAATGGACACCGATATCTAGTCCATTTGGTGCATATTTTGATTAAATGAAATTTTATTTGTTAAAAATATAGCCTTTTAAATCTCATCTTCAAAATCGGACATTTCATGTGAAACAACCTGTGACCTTTCATGTGACAACGGTCGCACATGGGGAGGACAAGGATACGGAGCCGGGATCATCCCTGGATAGCTCCGCGTCCTTGGACCCACTGGCTCAAATAAAGACCTTGGCTATCCTTTCTTGTTCGAGGAGCAACAAGTGTTTCCAGCTGGCATGCCCGTCGTGTGACAGTGCGAACTCAAAACTCTAATAATAATAGTGCTTATTGAGGACGTAAGGATCCCATGAGGAACAAATGCGGAATGAAATGGGATCCAAGATACTGAGGTAAGACATTTAAGGAGACATTTAAATTATTGTCAAGATAATGTTTCTAGCAATGTGACTTCTAAAATGAGGTTGAGTACGACGTAATGATAGTGTTTTTGGTTTCGTAACTGGTTCCGTGTGGGTGGGCAAGACAGGATTGCATTGCAGATTGAATCGAAAATTTTGGGGGGATTTTAAATGAAGCATTTCGTATCGAGCGATGAAATAAAATTTTTATTTAGTGCAGAGATTGTTTGGATTTTGTCTCCGACCTGGAAACTCCGCCTCGTTATGGAATTCATTTCTCGAGTGCATCGCCACAGAGCCAGTCTTGTCTTGCATAACAGCTTAACGTTGCTTAATATTGAAAAGGCTAATATCGCTTCGATTGAACCGAAGAAACTTTTCTCGGCAGTTCTTACCGTAAAAATTCCTGGACGGGAAAAGTTCCTCGATTTTCAACGGCGAGTTTTCGCGAGAGAGGATTGCTTTAGTTTCATGCACGTATTAGTAAATTTCAACCATTATTATTATTAACTATTGCCTTTGAGTCATTCTGCGACGCGATGACTTCCTGAAGGGTGGAGGACATCATTCCGGCTTTATTCCTTGAAAGATGAACCGTGGTGTCATGCACATACATTTCTAAGTGATTTTTTTTTAGCGTGGCTGGTGGGTCATTCAAGCAGTAGATAAAGAATTTTCCTGGAGGATAGACCTCTGTGTTGGGGGGGAGGGGGAGGGGGGGTATTCTGGGACACTTCTCTTGTCATGCATTTCAAGCGAGTTGACGTCTTCTTTCGATCGGACTAAATCCATATTAGACCACAGTGTCACTGACGTCATTCGGAGGATTCATCGTCCTCGTTGGCCCTACAGGGTGGGCCACAAATATTCATACCACTTCTAAGAAGTGGTATGAATATTTGAAAAGAATAGATTAGAAAAGAATAGAAAAGCGAGACTCGCTTTTCTATTACCGAATGCCTAAAAACAGGAAATAGAATAATGAATCGTACCTCCACGTGAGTGTCTGGTGGTTTTAACACGAAATCCCTCCTCCTAAAAATGGCTCGAGATGTAAAAAAAAAAAATGGTCCGACCGACCTCGAGGCAGATAGGATCCAATAATTTGAAGGACCCCCATGCGACCTCGACTGTTTCCGAATGGATTCCTGGTTGCCGTCGAGAAGAACGGGGACGCATCGAAAATAGTTTGCGAATAATTACTGCGAGCCCTCGTGTCTTGTTCGGATTTAATTTATACCACGAGAAGTCATTCGTACAGGAAACACGAGGCTTCGATTTGGTGTGAATAATCATGGCCCACCCGGTATCGCTTCGCATCCGCTTTCGCTCTGATGCAGCTTTCGCTCTGATGCACAGGGGGCTGGGAACGTTCTTCGCTTCCGATCCCAGCCCCGTCGAAGGCCCGTGTGTCAAAGCACGAGCGACGCCTCGAAAACACGACATATTTTCAGGCGGCGAAGGATGCGCTGTTGGCCGAGACCGACCGAGACCGACTTGGAGCCGAGCCTAAACGGCAATGCGGGGTCGATCGCTCGCGAACGGCGCCCGACTCTGAGACAGTTTTTAAGGGGGGGGGGAAAAAACGACGGGTGGAAAATACCGACTCGATCGTGGCGCCAAGGCTGTCGCCCGTGCGCCATCGCCATCTCTCCGAGTGGGATTCCTTCCCCCTTCCCGATGGATCTCCAGACGCGGACTCGGCCGGGGTCGCTGCCGATCCTCGCCCCGTCCTCACGCCGTTTCCCGTCGAGGCTCGTCGAGAACGTGTGGAGTGCTCGTCGGTCTCGACGCCGGCCATCGAGAGGACGACGGATGCTCGTCTCGAAAAGTCCAAGGTTGGAGGAAGTTTTACCATTCTCCAGGAAAAAGATGCACCGATCAGGTTTTTGCCTTCTGCATCGGGGTGGCAGCGGGGTCTGGGAACCAAGCGATTCCAGGACTTACCAGGCGAACCGGCGAGCTCTCTAAGTCGACGAGGCTGGAAGTTTACGTCTCCCTTCCCTCTGTGCGCATGCGCGTATTAGTCTTTTTTTTTTTTTTTTTTTTTTTTTTTTCTATCTCATTCCTGATTTTTTTTTTTTTTTTTTTTTTTTTTTTTTTTTTTTTCCTATCTCATTCCTGAGGCACAGACTCAGTGCTTCGCCACGTTCGGCTGGGCGTGCCTCCAGCTTTCGCTCTCTTATTTTTCCCCTTCCAGGTTGTCGCTTCTTGAGACTTCTCGGCTCTTCCAGATCTCAGGTATCCTGCATTCTTCACCCTTTCTTGTCCGCAGCCACCGTTAGATCGTAGTTGACGATCGGAGTGCGCGTATAAATGGGTGAACCCAAGGAACGAGGGCGACGCGCCTCGAGTCTCCAGGCTGGGGATGGATTCCTCAAAGGAAACTCATGGGAAAATAGTGAAGTGCGCATTGTACTTACAGTGAGACGTGGGAGGACGAGACCCCCTTTGCCGCTGTACAGTGGTTATCGAATGAATTCACCCGCCCCTCCTCCCCCCCCCCCCCCCCCCCTTAGGCTAAGGCTACATATAGAAACATNATACCCCCCCCCCCCCCCCCCCCCCCCCCCCCCCCCCCCCCTTAGGCTAAGGCTACATATAGAAACATTTTTGCACATAAACGTTTTTGAAATATGTTTTGAAAATCTGTCGACATCGAGCCCAATGCACCCGGCTAAATAGCGAAAAACATTCCGAGAAATGTTAGTGAAAAACATTTAATTTTCGTTTCTCGAGCCCGCACTCGCACAAACAGCGAAGAAATGTTTTTCTATACTCGACGAATGATTTCCCACTGCCACGGAAGCGAGCCAGCGGGCGAAGTACAAATTTATCTGGCACTTCGACAGCAGCAGCAACAGGGTGTCACGTCCCTGCTATCGGTTGGAAAGTGGACGGAAGTGGACGAATGACGGAAGACGCTCCGTTTCCTCCTCCGCGTTATGCTCCATGCCGTCTTTCGATTTCCGACGACCGGTCGCACGAGAAGCGAATCCCACATTTTCTGCCTCCATTTCGCAGAGGCAGATGGCAGCACTGGAACCACGAATCGCATCGTGATGCATCGCGACATCATGCTTCCAGAATTGTGTACTGTTGCGCTGTGGTCACGAGTCTTCGTCTTCGGTCTTCCCTTGCCCCTATTTGAGCGAGACACTATTCAAGAACATGGTGCAACTCAACGCAGCACTGCCGTGGATAATATTATTATATTATGGAGATATCGTATTCTCAAAGAACATTTGGAACCTTCTCCTGTGGAAGTTGTTCGACTGCGGGTGCGGGAAGATCAACTTTGTTTTTGCCGAAAAACTTGCCGGGCAGTTAAAAAAAAAAAATTTTTGAGACGTTTCTGGGAATCTCATATTTTTTTCGCGGCTTTCAAGAACATTTGAGAAGCATCAAAAAACGTTTTTCCCACAAATGTTTTTATATGTAGCCTAGCGTCTATGCCTCGTCTATGGGCTCCTATGACTCGTCATGCTTTTCTGTGATGCATCTACGGATACTGCAACTGCTAATAACAACTAATCAAGGTAGATGTCGCCCACGTCGCTATGTCCTGCATCCGCAGCGGTTGGGGAAATTGTATTCATCCATTCTGAGTTTCCCATTTAAATCTCGCTTCGTCTTCCCACTAAATAACTCGTATTAACTTATGAAAGACTCTTTTAGGGAGATGATGACATGCCCCTGACTTGTTTCCCTCGTTCACTTCGATCACATCAGTGATACCCATTGAAAGGAACGAAGGATTTCGCAATCATTATTTTGACTCAGAGGGGGGGAATACAGTTGTGCTCTGGGTACTGTGCCCCATAAAAACATTTTCGACTTTCTCCTCATCTGCATTCTGTCCTCATCAAATTTTTTGCATTTCTATATTTTAAAAGTATTAAGTACTATAAGCATCGACTGGATTCTTGTCCATTTCGTCTTCTTTGTTGAAAGTGCATCGAACGTGGACCGCCTGCCATTTCAGGTTTTCCTTGAAGGGAAAGGAAAGCTTCCAAAACCAAAGGCTTTTTTCATTAAGGGAGAAGGATTCAGAAAGATAATTATTAAAATTTCGTGTTACTCATCTTCGGATTTCCGGAATAGTGGGAGTTGGGAATTTTTTTTCCCAGGTGTGTCTTCTCATGGATGATAATATTGCCAGTCAAAAAAAAGGTCAAAGGTCAAAGGTCAAAAGTCAAAGGTAAAAAAAAAGATACATCCCGTTAATACATGACCGATTCCGTGATTGCGTCGATGACAAGGTGACGATATCGTTTTCATTTCGGTGTTCTGACATTTCTCAAGGTTCACTTCACTCGAACTTTGTTCAAGGAATGTTGGTTCCTGCGCGTTCTGATTAGCTGTATTATGTCGAGTTTGCGAAGCTCCTTCAAAGCACCATTTTGGTCTATGGTGGTCGAGAAGCTGCCTGGGATCGCAAATGTGGATAGTTTGACTGTTGATGGGACGAAAAACAGATGCCACTCTCTTCTTACAACCAGCGGCGTCACTGCCAACTGCAGGGTGGGTGAATTCATTCGATAAACACTGTAGTGAGCGGGGACCAGGAGGAATGCATTCTTCGATAGTCTTATTTCTCACCTGACTGTGATGGCGCGGATCCAAGAGCGCATGGATGCGGGGATGTGACCTGCTCCAAGCAGTTATTCCCTTCGGGCTTAGACACTCCCTGCATCCATGCTGGTATTTTCAGGAAGTTCCTCTGAAAACCCTGGATGATCTCGTAACCGAAAACCTAATCAATCCCTCCCCGTCTTGAGGCAAGCGCAAGGAATCGGGCTTACAACTTTCAGGCCATCACTGTGTTCATGTCACCATTTTTTAAGTACTTAAGAACAACGTGGCATGAAGGTATTCATCCAATATACCCTCCCTTCAATAGATATAGCAGAATTTCTTTTGGGGAAGTTGGCGTTCATTTGGTTGCAAGGAAGTGACATTTGGTCGGATGGCGTAATTTTGGATTTCAGCTTAACCCTTTCAGTGCCGAAATTTTGCGGCAATATTTCAGCTACTGAGCTTTACGTGTAATCAACTATGAGTGGTGACATCTGACGACGGTTATTGTAAATTACCCAGCTTTTGAACAATATGTATGAAAAATATTAATGCTATGTATGGATCGTTTTATAATTACAGCGATTTTAGTAGAAAATTAGTAATGAGACAAGATATGTCCCGATATCAGCGAAAGGGTTAATGACCTTTTAAGTTCATTGTAACGAACATAGCATAATGAATGAGATAAATGGATAACACACATCACAATTGGGTATGTGATAATGAGGTATTTGGAGACCAAAATGTTGGAATGACACCCTAATTGTTATACAGGGTGTCCTATGTATTTCTGACACTTTTTTTTGCTAATTACTTGAGAATGGTTAATTCATTCAACCTGAAACATAATTTAAGAGAAACCTTAGTAGTTATGATCCAACACTCAGAATTCACACAAAATTGCTTTTTGTTCTTGCAAAAAAAAACATGTTTCAAATGCCTTCCTTTCTGATTCATGCACTCTCTCCATCGAATCAAAACATTTCATTATTGCCTGGAATGTGTTTCTGTTAATTGCAGTGGTAACTTCCATAATTCTGTTCTTTGTCATCAACATGCCCTGGTTTTGTGTGGTACACTTTGTTTTCAGGAAGCCCCAGAGAAAAAATTCGGTGTCAATGAAATATGGGGACGAGAGAATTTTGGTGAAAGAATCCTGTCACTATTTGGTTCTACGTTCTTCTTGTATTCCACGGGCAACACTCTCCCAAGACCAGGTACTCTCAAGTACCCGGTTTTTATTCTGGTCAGATCTTTCTGCTCTGGATATAATTTAAAGTTTTTGCAAGTAGGGAAACTGTTCATTCTCCCTCTTGGGAAGTTTCTGGGAGTGATATTCTCTCTTTCTTCACAGATTCAGGCATTTTTGTGATGCAGAAGGGGCCACAAATTTCAACAGAAATGCAATATTTCAGGGACTGTTTTTAAAGGTGTGAGAATGAATTGGCCTGTCAAAAACATGACGCTCTGCATCTTCTCCATACTTGATAATTTAACGCATCATCTGTCAAAGGAGGTTTTGCCTTTTTCTATGAGATATAAGGCCAAGAGTGTTTTAATTTGGTAACATGCATGGGGATGCTGGTAGGTTGTATGGCCCAGTGAATAGCTTACAACTTGCTAGCATCCTGTATGACAGCTAATGTGTTACATTGGAGACTTCAAAAAAGCAAGTACCTCTTTACCTTTCAGTACCTCTGTGGGTGCTATGATGCCCTCCTTGCATAATCCCAGAGGTAAGAGGGTGGTGGGATGCTGGATGTGAATCAGGCCAAGTCTTGAACAGTAGATAAAAGACCCTGTTCTGTGAGGGAATTTCTCTCTCACTTCCTTTATTGCATCCTTCTGCATTTATAGCCAAGAATTGTGAGATGGTGAACAGAATATCAGGCTGGCCCATTTTCATGCTGACTTTCGTTCTTTTCTGGTGGAGGGTCATATCAGGTGAGGCTATGTTTGAGGTCCTCCTTTACAAGGATTCCTACAGGGATTTTGGAATGAGTTAGCATATGCCCACCAAATGCTAGTCATATGTAAGACTGAGGAAAATGTTACTTTTCCTGGCAATGGTTGACAGAAAGTGATGATTTTTATTACATAGGAGTGAAAACTCATCCCAAAATCACTGCTTAACTGAATGGAATGCTATGGCTTGTTCTAGACATATCATGGAGGAAAAAAATTGATTAATGAGTGGAATTATCCATTGCAGCAGACTTTTGCAGATTTGAGAAGAACAAGGCAGATTGCCATTTTATTTATGAAGGCAGAGATGTCAATGTGAAAGGTGTTGTAAACGAGGACCTGGGAAATTTGGATCCCCTCTCAGTGACTTTCAGCTTCAATGTGAGATCATGACCTTTTTGGAAAGAAGCTAAGTGATATGGACAAGCATGAGAGATTGTGGACTGTTTCCAGATTGAATTCTTTCCCTCCCTTCCATAGGAGCACCTCCATCAATTGCCACCAGTCTTTAGAAGTGGATCCTTTGTAATGCTTTCTCCCATTTTCAATCCTCATTGGGGTAGGGGGTACAAATTCATTATGAAAAAGGTGTAAATAGATGCATTGGGTTTACCAGGAAAATCAGTCAATTTGTGAGTAAACTTTAAAATAATAGCAAATGCAATACAGTAGACATTGCTTATTGTGATCTGGTTATTGCCAATTGAATAATGTGGTATTTTCTTGAAAACTAAAATCAAATCCCATCCTTTTTACGAATTCTTCTCCTGTCTTTGTTTGACCATTCCTGCCTATAGGTACATAGAAATGTCAGACCACCCTATAGTTACAGAAGGAAAAGGTAGGGAATTTTTCAATGGAGTTGAGGGAGACACTTCTCCAGTCTGTAATGAGAGAGCTGGAAACAGCCTTGATTCCTATTAAAATCTGTATGAGAGTCTCAAGACTAAAATATGGGGCTAGGGCTCTATCCATACAAAGGTGATTTTTTGCAACTACTTCTTCCATTTAAGGCAATTTGGATATGAAAGTTGCTGCATTCTGAGTTTTGTTGATCACTATCTATCAGCCATTTAAGGTTGCCTAATACCTTTGCACCAATCTGATTGCAATGAGCATTGCCCACTGCATCTGCAAAGAATGACTTGCTGGAAATGAACTATTTTTTAGGCTAGGAGGAAAGACAGAAATCAACTTTGAGAAAAGCCACACCAGAAACAATGTTCATTCATGTTCATCAGGCCTCAGAGTATGTAATGGAACTTGATGAATTGATTTCATATTGAAGGCACTCTACTGGCTCCTACTTGGCTATAGAGGGTGCATGGGACAACAGTTTACTGTAAGGTTTTCTGTTCACGGATTGAATCTTCAGTGAGAACTTTGTAAATATAAGAAGCATTAGGTTCAGAGGCAATTTTTGAGTTCAGCTGTACCCCAAAGTTGATAAAGTCATCAGTAGCATTGCTTTGTGGAGACAGATGAGAATGGCACAAAAATTGACTGGCATGAATAGTGATGGAGGTTCCCCTTTCATGACCTGCTCTAAAAGAGGACAGTTGACTTCAGGGACAACATGAAAAAGGGAACAATGTAAGTGATTAGTTGGTGAATATGGTTCCACAAAATGTCACTCTTTAAAAATTGTAATCCTATCTTATTTGTGAATATGAGACCTTGACAAAGGACATAATAATGAGTTAAAGTGCCTCTTCATACCCCTACTTGAACCGAAATCCTTGGTGATTGATCTAGCCTGTTAAGTATAATTACCATCTAGATTAAAATTAGTGTTGTTTATGTTTATTGCAGAAGGCTGTTGATTGTCCATGTGCTTGACTGGAAAAATGGACTTGTTGCACATTTTGTGGTGTAATGCTGCTAAATCCTGATTTTTATTGCAGGTTCCTTATATGAAATTGAGCTCGCGACCACACAGCTTCAAACTGTGTTATGGTGAGAAGGTGGTCCCCATTGAGAACTTTACAATCTCTGGGTCCCCTGTCATGTTTAGGATAGAAATTGAGAATGACACTAAGGTCTTGGAAAACAGCCATTCCATATTTATGTCTGTGAGTCCTTCATGATTTTGTTCATTTCATGATGCCTTGAGGCCTTCTTCCAGATTGTAAATGGGTCACCAGAAGCAAAGGAACTGGTCTAATGGGTTTAAAGTTAAAGGGAATTTTTTCATCAGTTGTACCCGTGACAAGGCCTTTTTGTAATTTCGGCAAGGGAAATTGTCCAAGCTATGCAGAATTTGTAATTATTCATGTGGCTTACTTAGACCTTTTGTCCAGCTTGAATTTTCATGCAACAACTTCATTGAAGTAATCAGTTTTTGCTTTCATTGATATTGCTGATCTGTTTTCACATTTGGGCTTGATCTTTGAAAGCCAAAAATTTGTTAGAGGAACTTATAAGAGGGTATTGTTGTTTGTTTAAAGGTAGGGTAACAGAGATCTGTGAATTTAAAGTTATTTGTGTCCTTAGTTTTTAGTATTGCCAGATATGTGCTCACAGGAGTTTTTCTGGCACTTTTCTTTTCTGCTCATGACAAATTCACCTCTTGAACTGTGCAATTGCCTAATTTTTCATTCTGAGTGCTAGTTTAGAAAAGGAATGTAAAATAATTGACCTTTAACCCTTTCATAATGTTGTACTGTAATATCATTTTTGCTGTCAGTGAGCCTACCAGAGAGAGCCTACCACTGCTGAGATTTCAAGTATATTGGACCTAAATCCTTGTAAATTGATTGATATATTTCCTAGATTAATTTAATAGATTAGAGTGCAAAAATCATTCATGCAGCTGTCATTTTGCCAAAAAAAAACTCATTTTAAGCAGAAAAATTAACCCTCAAAAGAATTTAAAAAAAACGTAATAGTAGAGCATTAGGTAAGAAATTACTTTGATCCTGTTGTTCTTACAGAGATGAAGGAACATAAGAAATGAAGAATGCTTCAATGTTCATCAAATTAAAGATACCTTTAGATTTGGGGTTACCAAGCAGAAGGTTGAGTGTTGCTCTTAGCATGGACCAAAATGAAATGCTTTTTTTGTGAATGCCCACATGAAACTGAGCTGGAGAGTTCCCATTTCAGATTATAGTAAGGATAATCACACATTGACAAATAGCAATATTTAGATATGTACAGATTTTTTGTTAATAATATACAGGGTGTTTCAAAAGTCCAGACTCAATAGGCAGATTTCCTAATTTACCTTTATTTCATTAAATGTTCAAATTGCATGCCATGAACTTGCATGTACATATTAATCCTGGCACATAACCCCTTCCGAATATTTTTTAGAACTTCTGTACTAGTTTTGGTGCACTCATTCATTGAGAAATTTAATTAATTCAAAATACCCATGAGTATGGACTTTTGAAACACCCTGTATTTTGCCCTCTCTTCTTTTCTCAGGGTGATATGCATCCATTGTTTGCTATCATAACTGGTAGCACCTGCTGGAGAAAGGAAAAGTTGCATAACCAAAGTGAGGTATTTGGAATGAATGAAATCTTAATGAACACATCTCTTCTCATTTGAACAGGGTTCCTTGGAAGAAAAAGGAGGGAAAAAGAAGTACCAATTTCTCAGGACACGTTATGTGCTCCACCGGGATCCATGTCCCAATTCTACATCTATGACATCTGCATCTAAGGGTTGATTGAGTTTGTTACTTCATTCCCAAGTGACTTGCAAGCACCTATTGCTGTAAAAAAAAAAAAATAATAATAATAAAGTATTCAATAGGGTGGCTTTTTCTCCATTGAGTATTTTGAATGAAATTACCCTTTCCTAGCATGATGGCAATAATGCATTTTGATCCAATTTCAGGGTTTTCCATTTTGATGGTGGTACTGTCCTTGTGTGTCATGGGAAAGATCTTGTTCCCTTCCACCAATGGCTGCACTCATCTCAGGAATCTCAGTACACCTAAGGAAACTCAGGTAATGACGAACACTTGAACTCGGGTCCACCAGTCCAACTTCTGATTTTCTTTACAAGTATCTTAAAGGAAATTCAAAAAAATATTTTTTCTTCCATGTGGATTTATGTGGAAGAGGTGATTCTCATGTAATTCCTTGAATACACCAATACACCTGAGTCTGTTTTGATCTTTGAGCATGACACTAAGTTCCTACCAACTACACACAATAACAAGGCTGGAATAGTATCATACAATATTAGAAGGCTCGTGTCCTCAAGCATCTCACTATGACCTTGTCATCAAATTGATACATCACATTGCACCTTAACAGTGGACTGAGGGTACTCATTATGACTCCTGCAATATCAAATCTTGTTGATATTTCACCAAGGTTGTGAAAAGCTTTATTTTGACATTACTCAAGTCAACTTTGGCATGCTGTGCTTAGAGGCAGAGAAGTGAGCATTGGCCTGATAAGTTACAATTATGATTCTCTGCTTTGATTGGAAGAGCATGAGTTGATAATTCACCATGTTGGATTCTGCTCAACTCTTTGCACGAAGCCTTGAGCCTTGGTTTTGGTCATAAGTGCACCTGTGTTGAGTTATAACCCCCTTTGCAATACAATGAGGTTAGTGTGAATGAGCCTTGAAACTTTTTCACATTGTTGGGTGTCTGCCAGCTTCAGGTTAATGCATTAACTCATAAAATGAGGATCATGTAATTTTTTGTGAATATGGACTTTTAAACAGGCAAAATCCCTTAGAGCAAGACAGTAAAGTGGATGATCATTCTTGACACCAATGGCATTTTATTGCTTATTGAATATGGGGGGGGGAGAACACACATAAATGTATAACTTGTGTGTATTCTCCCCCCCCCCCCATATTCTCTATTGTTTTGGCTGTAGGCTTATCATCTGTGACAATCCAATCCACTCATGGGGTGGGCTTTGACCAACTTGATCTTTCTTGAAACATCCTCCAATAGTAAACTCCATTTGTGGGAAATGTGAGAGGTATGTACCTGTTAGAAGAATTTCTGCAGGGATGGTTATTTTATTAGTGTTATTGACAGGTGCCACCAGAGAATAGGAAGAAGGATACCAATGTTGAGGAGGAGGGGAATGAAGATTCTACATCAGATCACCAGGGTGCTAGATGCAGGTTAGCCTAGCCAAGTCAGCTTCTGTTTATCTGAGCTGATACTTGTTAAAAAAAAATTTTTGCAAAATAATTTTGAAATCTTGGGGTAAATCCTCTGCTGTCAGATAAATGTAATGTTGGCCCCACCTTCATTTAGTTCTTCTGGTTTCTGATGAATAAAGAAAAGTATGCCCATTTGTGAATGTAAATCTTTAATAAATAACTGGTAATTTGGATTTTTGCAGTAAATATATAAATTAAGTAATAATATAACCCATATTATTTTCAGAAAAGAATGCCAACTATGGTTTCCAGATTCAAAGTGGGCAGTCATAATAGAAGTTCAAAGTGGAATGTGATCAGTTCTGGACAATATTGATAAATATTATTTCTCCTAGACATTTTGCATTTTGATCTCTGTTGGGCTATTTCATGTCAATCTGACCACTTTATCCACTTTTTGTGCATGGCCCTTTTTATGTGCATGAAAATCTGCAAGAGGTAAGATGTGGCTGCAAGCATGGGTATCAGATATCATTGAAGTCAAAGGAGAGAAGGAGCACATGAATAGCATTTGCTAGTTTAGCTCTAATTTACCCTCCCTGGATTGCTCCTGCATAGCATTTTCAATAAGTTATCTTTTACTTGAACTGGAGAGATCAGTGTGAGCACAAAATTCAAAAATAAAATGACAATGTCGTGTTGCCATGATCACAGGTGCCTTTGAGATTACCAGAGTTGTAGTTCCATGTTTCTGTTATGGATGTTGGATGGTAAATATGAGGTTCAGGGGAAAATTTAGACCTACTGTTATATTAATTAGTGCTTTTGCCAAGGATACTGGATTGTAAGATGTCAAAAGAATGTGATGTTTTTTTGTTTCCCCTTTAGGAATGGCCATCCATCCATGGCACCATGAGATTCCCCTGTCTGTGATGAGGGATGGATCCAGAGAGAGGTGACCTTCTGTACCCAGATCTGCTCTCTCTATGGAAATTAATAATTTATTTATTGTTAATTGTGTATTTTCTTGGAATTTCTTGATCACTATTGGCCAATCAAATCAGATTTTCCTTTGCTGTACACTGTGATACCTCCAACAGGTGTGCCTTCAGAGAGTGTTTAGTGTCTCTGGTGCCATTTGCTACTCTATGAGCATGTCAAATTTTTCCTGATTCAACCTGTTCCTATCATTTTTATACAAGTCTCTTTTGCCTCTATCCAGCTCATGAATAAAATCTCAGAGAGGTAGGGATTGGCATTTCACTTCTGGGTTCTGACAGCTACTGGGAGGTATTTGCTGTAGTATCAGTTGATACTACAGCATTGGAATAGGTATTGGTATTGGTACATGTGGATCAGTGCATCTTTAGTGCTGATGAAGATTGAGGGGGGTTAGGGAACCACCCTCTAATGAATTATATCTCATCTACCCTGTTCATAACTTCATATGTGATAATTCAATATTAAGTCCTCTCTTTACCCTATATATTTTCTTTATTATTCTTTGATGTAGGGAAATGAATTTTTGTCTAGTTTTTCTTCTGGATCTCAGGCCTGTGTGAAGGACTTGGTTGAATAGACCTAGATTTTTGAAGTTGAAAAGTGAGGCTTTACTTCCAGCAGGCATTGCACAATGACATGCAATTCCCACAATCGTGCTTTGATGAAAACTCATTCTATTAGCACCAAGGGATATACAGGGTGTATCAAAAGTCCATACTCATGGGTATTTTGAATTAATTAAAATTGTCAGTGACATTAGTACAGAGGTACTTAGAATATTCAGTGGGTTTTACATGCCAGAATTCATGTGTATGCAAGTTCATCATGGCCTTTAATTTGAAAATTTAATGAAAATTTAATGAAATAAAGGAAAATAGTGAAATCTACTTATGAGTCCAGACTTTGATACACCCTGTATATTTGATTGCTAGGGTGTGGGAATTCTTAGGCAATGATTCATGTGGCCATAAGGCAAATACACTCTCACACACTTTATTTATCTCTGATCATTCATGGGAGATAAGGTGATGTCAAAGACAATATAATGTGTAGCAACATAATTTCAGCTTTGAGATCGGAAGGAAATTTTTGGTGCATATTTTCCACCCTTATATTTTGCAGGGAAAATGTATAAAATAAGAATTGTAGAATTACCCTAAGATCTATCCAAAATGTGCACCTGCCAAATCCTGTTTTATTGGGTCTGAGAAGATAATCACCTGTTCCAATCCTAGTCTGCAGTAAATCACTCAACTTGAATCTATTGGAAATGGTATTCAACTCAAAGTTTGATTCAGCATTTCCATATAACAGATGAGCCTTGAATGTACTGTGGTGTTGAATATATTTGAAGCCAAGAAAAATCTCACATGCGTCTTCATTACCTCAAGTTTTTCACGGACATTTTTGTACGGAAACGTCTGAAGCAGGGGTGCCCAAATTGGCTATTCCATTTCCAATTCCATTCCTGTTGGCTAGCAGTACATTTTTTTCAAAAGAAGAGTAGAAATGTTTTCATTCCTTCTTGAATAATAATTATGTGTTCCTTATGTCATTGGACCTTGGACAGCCTGCAATGGCCTTGTATGCAGTCCACAAAGATGCAAAGCACTTTTCAGTCAAGAGGAACTTATTAACACCAGTGAGCCTTTTTTCCAGTGTGACCCAGACAAGGATAGTCATGTCCATATGCACTCCCAGCTCAAAATGTCAGAATATCACAATCCGTAGATTCAATTGATTCATTTGACTTTTTTATTATTATTATAGCAAATACACCAAAGCCAAGTTGATAAATAATGGGAATTCACAAATATTTCAGGATTAATATTCTAGTTCATTTCCAGTGAGGAGTAGTAATATCACAGAAACATTCTTGAACAAATGCGCATGACCCAGTAAGATGAGTTAATACTGCCAAATTTAGCCACAAAGGATATTGATAAATTTACCTTTGAGTATTGAAGTCATTTCTAAATAAAGGAATACATTCACCTGATCTGTTTAACTTAAACTTATCTGATCTCACAATGGTCCTCTGTGAGAATCTGTTTGACGGAGATAATCTTATTCCCATAGATGTCCATCATGAAACCAGATGAGTTTAAAGTTAAATGGATCTGAATGGATCTCGCTCATCCGAGAGATGGCGAGACGAGAGCGAATCTTCCATGTTCCCGTGAGGCCGATTTCCAAGTTTCATTTCTCAAAGGCGCATTTTCGGAAGATAATGCAGAGTTCTGTCGAAACCCCAAGTTCATATTTCGAAGCATTTCGCCTGTGGAGCTGTCACACAAACGCGATTTCAATTTTCGCTCGGCCAAGCTAGTGGTCAGGATCGCGCGCTTCATGTTTAACCTCCGGTTTGAAGAAGAAGAAGAAGAAGGAAAAATAATAATAATAATGATAATATTTTGTTTCTGTTTTTTTCTTTTCTTCACCAGCTTGTTGTAAGATATGGTAATAGCCAGAATTTTGCATGATTCCAACTATTGGGTCATCCCATAAGTAATGCGTTTTTTTCTGTATTTTTAAATTAAAAATAGAACAAATTTTCGACAGCCTCTAATGAATAATATATTTTCCCTCATTCTCCCCAACCTTTTCCCACCTTCCCGGCAAACTTCCTACACCCTTCTCGTAAAATTCCCTCGGCTCGGACTCGAAAAACTCCAACACAGTTCTGACTTCACCTATGGTGGCCATCTGCATTCCGTCCGAGCGGTTGTCTGATGGAGCGATGTCGGGTGAATGCAGTGGATGGTTCATTATTTTATCGTTTATTATGGTTTATTATTTTTGGAATCACCGTTGACACTCCGTACTCGTGCAGTAGAATATGCCGAATATGTTCTTTTATCACTTCCATTTTAAACTCTCTGAAAATACAGAATAATCGATGTACACTTATCGAAATTTGATATGAAAATGAAGACAAGTTAGTATCTAGATCAGTATTTATTTCAAATGCATACCTGCATAACATTACCTATTTTTATTTGTTTATTGCAAGCTTATCGGAAAAACCGCATTACTTATGGTATGACCCAATATATTGATGGATGAGACACCCCTACCAGAAAAACATGCATGTCTCTTATTTCTGAGATTTATTAAATTTCACTTCTCTCAGTGAGAGAAATTAAATTGTATCATTCTGGAAGAAAGCAGCACTGGATCGAGAACGAAAATCTGGGGATTTTATATTTTTTCCGATAGGCGATCTCACGCGACGCGGAGAAGTGCTGCGAATGATGTGAACCCATCAATTTCTCATTAATCGCGCGAATTTTAAGGCAGAGAATGGCAGAAGCTTGGATAAAGGAATAACCAAAAAAGAAAAAGGATGTCTTCTTTTCTCTTCATCTCATTGAGTCTAGAATTCGCTGGAGGTCCTCTCTCTCAGGCGCCTCTCACGCACCTCTCACACACATCACACACACATCACACACCTTGAAGGTACTGGGCAGCGCCAGCGGGTCCGAGCCAGTCGGTCTCGCGCGGTGGAAGAGTCGCCATCTCGCTCGTGCGTTCTGTCCTATCAAATCGTTCCGTTTCAGATTCGCCACCTTCACGTGAGTATAAGCTCATTTTCTTCCACTTTTTGTCCTTTGTACACTCCCGCAAGTAATTTGATTCGTCGCAGGCGCGAGTCTCCGCGGCGAACGGCGAAGTCGATCCACGAAAAATCGCCGAGTGAGTTTCCTCAGATCTTTAAGGCCGACCGCACACGAATGCTCCCTTAATTGACCCTTCGCCCTGTGGGGGGGGGGGGGGGGCGTGAGCTTTGGAGAGCCTCTTTGTACAGGCCGCCGAAATAGCTAGGGCCGACCCTGATTTCCGGAACCTCGGTTCCGTGATGATCGCCCGTCCAGACTTTAAAAAAAAGAAACTAGAGAGCAGGGCGTATTTTAATGTGCAGTTGTAACAGATACGCGCAGTTATGAAATATTTTGTGCAATTCTGAGATGGAATTTGTGCAGTTCTACTACTGGGCAAGAATTACATGGAAAAACAATAATTAAAACCTTGACCGCAACTGTATTGCTTCTTTTCTCTCGTTTTTTTTTTCCATCGGCCTTAATTTTAATATCTTTAATATATTCACCGTCATCCTTAGCAGCCCACTTTAACTTTTGGAATCCCCCGGTTCCGTCTCACAAGAGGGTCGAGGTAACCCAGCAGGACAACCACTCCCGACCGACCGTTCCAGAACATTCACCGTGTTGCCGTTGAAGCCCGCCACGTTGCAGTTGAAGCTGGCTGGACATTCTCTCTCCTTCCGTCATTATTCCCCGCAGAAGGTGCCAGAAAGGTACCCTGAGTTAATTTTGTTCTCTTGCCGAGTACAGAAGCAGATGTTTCAGCACCGATCGCTTTCTCGTAGATTCTTAATTCTGCCCAGGGAGGGAGGGGGGGGGGGGATGCCCCAAAGAACTTGGGCATCGGCGCCGGCGGCCGATAATTGGGTCAGTCAGGCCGATGTTCAACGCGAAACAGAAATGCATGTTTCCTTCGACTCTTCTCGACGTCATGGACCTCGCGCCATTTCCTCTCGGCTGGCTTTTCCCTCTGACATGTTTATAGACATCAGATTAGCCTCGATGGGACTTGTGACGCTCAACTGTGCGAGAAAAAAAACTCTTGAACGAGCACGCCTTTCTTTTAGGAATGACCCTGCTGTGAGGTTGCCTTTTTTCTGAGAGAAACTTCGATTGGGGAGGAGGCGGCACGCGGTGGCTGACGACAGAAAGATCAATGTGGTCTGACCCTCATTAGAGAGGAAAAGGGGGGAAAGAAAAAAAAGTAACAACTGGAGCCCACACCCAGTGTTTTTCTTCAACAGCCTGTTTATATAAGCCTGTCTTGTTGGGTTACATTTTAGGCAGGCACTCGAGAAACATTGACCTGTCATTAAGATGGGGAGAAAATAGCTCTGCTTTTGCGGCTCTGTCAGCGAGCCTTCGTGTTTATGAAGTTGGGGTAATAATAAAAAAGGAGGGTCTTCCATGATTTCCCGCTATTGCACTCCTCTCAGGATCCTCGATCTCTTTCGTTATTTCGTGATGTGGAGACCCTGAGAGACTGCAGATCCAAGTGCAGCAGATTCTCATCGACATAGATTTGCAGTGCGTTGGAATGATTCTGGTGGTGCCACCAAAATGCCTCTCGGGAGATGATATTGAGGTAATATTTTAAGACTCTTCACGATGATCATGATGATCGATGGGGGCTGCAACATTCGCCGGCGTTTCCATAATGGCCTGACCATACGTTCCTCGACTTTTCCTCGTCACCCGCCGTTAATGTTTGCGACTCATCGGTATATTCGATCGTCTTTCAAATTCCACCATACCTCGCCCCCTAATATCGAGGGGGAAGTTTCGCACAATTGACGAGGATTCGCTGTGGTCAGTGATGTTGTGCGCTTGCTCGGGAGAAATCGCTAAGTTTACGGTGTGTTCCTCATTAACCATGTGGTCAGCGCTTTATTCTCTCATTTATTGAAGATAAGAAATTATCGATGAGGCGCAATCGATATTTATTTCCTTATATTTATTATTATTTTTTATTTGTTACAAAGGCGGCCATTCCCACTATCTTCGCTACTGCCGCCACATCGTTGCGACTAACCCATGCAATTGGAATGAAGATATGCAGTTGGAAGCAATGCCTCAAAAGACGTAATAGATGCAAGCCGGGGGGGGGCTGAGGGGGTGAGGGGGGGGGGCCCTCACCCCCACCATTTCTCTCCCATGTTCATGCCAAAAAGAGATAGGGTGGACTGTGTTACACAGTAAAAATCTCTTTGCTTGTCTGAAAAGTGTAAATAGTCCAAGGAAAGATACCGTATCGGAGTTAAACTGTGACATTGCCGTTTTTATGACATGGAACTCAATTATCGATGCGTGGGAAATTATCGTCCGTTAGCGAAAGCCGCATAAGAGGGGGACTTCCTTCGACTCTCGTCGCCTTTCGATCGGATCCATGTCTGTCGTCGCGATGGAGAATCCGGATATCGAACGAGACGGTGGGCCAAGGTCGTCGCGATGGACCTTAGATTAGTCCTTCGCGATTAGTCCTTCGATGCCTCCGAGTTTCCGGCGGAAGATGAGAATTGTAAACCCAGACCTCCATTCATCTGCTTTTGTCAAAAAAAAAAAATTCCCACCACTAGGTCGGGACGATAATGATACGACGTACAACATAGGAGAAGAATCTTTGGAATGGAAAGGGATCGAAGAAAAGGAAGAGGAGAGGGAGTGCATGGCAGGCAACATCCGGTCTGATTGGGACCTGCCATCAGCCGGATGGGAGAGAGAGAGAGAGCATTGTCGTCTCACGGCGTAGGCAGTCCCTCCGGTGCTTCGAAGAGTCTGGCAGGAGCTCTCTTGCACGTTTTTCTGTACCATCGACTCTTTGCCTGTTTGAGATTCATCTACTTCCGTGCGTCTAAGCTTATTATCTCGCTTTTTGTCTGTAGTAGCCTTCCGCTACGGTTTTGATTCATCACGGGAGCGGGTCCACCGCGGCGAACGGCGAAGTCGACCCGTGAAGAATCGCCCAGTGCGTTTCCACAGATCTTTCGGACCGGCCGTACGCTTCGACATCGCTTCTAATGGAAAAAAAAAGAATCAGTCTACTTTTGAGTCCCGACTTAAACGATCTCAGTGGGAGTGGTCCGCAACGAAGGGTGAAACGACGTGATGTTATTATTAGCCTGATGCGTCCCAGACTCCCGCCTCACCGTCCTCGCGTACAAAGGAAATTTTTTCTCATTCCTTTGAGGGCTTGTTATGATGATCGATGTGATCGACGCCTGCACGTCCCCTCTGCTCGTCCGGAGTGTGTCGCGCGCATGGGAAGACGCTGCAACTCCGTGAAATTCCGGGCGGATTGCCACTATCTCACCGCGAGCGCCCAAAGTTGCCTCTAGCCGACTCTGAACTTCACTTTTCGAGTAGGCATTCCCTTCGCCCGAAACCCATGCAGAAAATCGTACGATCGGAGGTTCCTCACTCCTCACCCCGTCTCACAAGAGGGTGAAGGCTCTCCGCTTCCATCGTCACTCCCGACCGAATGATCCAGAAGGTTCCGCGGGCAGCGGCGGGTCGTTCTCCCCCTTGCATGGTCCTTGCAATTTCTCGCTTTTCGCCTGATGCACGATGAGGATGAGATTCCCCGCCTCCTTCGCCAGTTCACATGCTAGACCGCGAAGAATCCTCTTGAATTTTCTATCGATCCCCACCCTTGCAGAATCCACGATATCGCCAATGAGGGGAATCATCAGTCGTCAGCCTGCAGCAGGTCCAATGACATCATCTCGCTTACTGAGAAAGTTGCAAGTAGGACTTCGCGCGTTATTCTTCCGTTGTATGCGGCGCTGATAAGACCCCAGTTGGAATGGCAATGTTNTTGCAGCGTCTTCCCATGCGCGCGACACACTCCGGACGAGCAGAGGGGACGTGGGAGAGCCACCGCACACACATTCCATCGAACATGTTAGCAGACTCGCCACCGATGAATCGCTAGGCCTCTGACCGGAAACGCGGCAGACGAATCACTGATGTCGACTTACCGCCCAGAATAGCAAATGACAAGTTGACAAATATATGTATATCGTTGACAGATGATAGACGTATCTATACGCAACATTTGACCGGCGAGGGTGACTCCTACTTTTACTTGTCACTCGGTGCGATGACTCGTCGATTGGCCCTGTCAGGAAAAGGAACACGGTTGCTTTGAAGTCTCCGCAAATTTGTGAACACCGGACCTCGGGGTGACAGTCAGGGTTGTCAGATCGCCAGGTCTAGTTTAGATGAAGATCATCGCTACTTGCCTTTCAGTTTTCGTCACGTTTGCTCATCGGGAACGCGTAAAAGTTGCGTGAGAACAGGCTTTATACTGCGTCGCGTCTTCTACCGCGATCGAACTCATTGTTTCTCGTCGCATCCGATGGAGCAGGACGGGACCGATGGCCGATGAGCACGGAAGAGAAAGGAGATCCAGACTCGAATCCTTGAAAGGGGAGGTGGAGAGGAGGCCAAGGTCGGTGGGCTGTTGCTCTCCCTCGCATAACAGGTCTCACTGTGATGCGGATGTCCATATTGGACGCAGTCTCTGGCAGGTTATCGGCGAGGAAGCATCTCGTCCATCTGTCTTGCATCGCATTCAGTGTGTTCTTCCTCAACAACTTGACTGTTACGGATTCGTCGACGTGAAGCCACCAGACGGCACGAATTCGGTTCATCGGTCGATCCGATCTTCCTTCTTAGTCCACTTGTGCCTTGCCCTCGACCAGCAAAGGTAAAGTCTCCCACCCTCGATGAGCATTCGCCATCGTGAAAGGTCTCGTGGAATTGCTAGGGAAAACTTGTGAAGTGCAAGTGTTTCTTATTTTACACCATCTAGTTCTCGCTATCTATGCCTCAGCCGTCAGTGTAGGAACCGACCTAAACTATTGAAATGAAGTTTGGAACGACACCTCAAAAGACATGGTAATTGAGGCTAAACTCCCCACCCCCCACCCCGAATGTGACCTGTGACGGTCGCGCGACTGTGGAGCAACAAAAATTGCCTCGTATGCCGCGGGCTTAAACCCCCTTGATTTTATGGAATGCATTAACGATCCAAGGAAAGACATTATCAGGGCTTGGGCTGTGCTTCGATAACGCCGAACACAGCCGTGGATGCGAGGGGAAATCATTGACCGACCGCCATGGAGGAAAAGAATCGTCTGTCAAGGAGGAGGTGCATTGTGACGACTTTTTCCAGTCGGCCATTTTCATGCCATGGCTGGCATCAGTGACTGATTAATGGATCCGTTTCGCAGGTGTCCCATCTCCTGCTTCTTCTTGTTTATCGCCGTTTTCCCTCTCAGACCTCGTCGGTTCATGAAGGTCATGCAGGATATCTCTCTCCTTCCCTCGTTATACCCTGGAGAACATGACTGTATATATTCTAGTATAACTGTAGTTATACTAGAATGTTCCGCTCCTTTCTGGAAGGTTTCTTTTCCCTCTCTCGTAGATCCTCAAGCCCGGAGCGCGTTGTTTGCAGTCTCGTTTCCCATTCCGATTCTCACCACCCTGACTCCTTATTGTGTGGCATTTTTCCAAACCGCATCGTGTACGTGACAGTCTCTCTCTCTTTTCCTCTCGGGTTATATCTGAAGGAGGTGAATAAAATAGGGGTGTCGGGGTGAATGAAACGCGACCGTCGTGTTACACCTCCTACCCTTGTGAGCAGGGACACCTCATAACCGATCGAATTCCTCAGTGATGAGACTTCCATCGTGAGCACGGTCGCCGTGTCCCTTTTTCTCCCTGTCTCTTGCAAATACCTGTGAAATGCCGATTCGTATGATTAGATCGTATCCTCGGAAGTTATTTACGCTCTCCTTTCTATCTCATTTCGTCACACGTTTGGGGTTGCATGAACGCAACAATTTGAACCATCGATAGTGCAAAAAAAAATGGCTGCACCAAGGGGGGCCGCCGAGTCGTCGTTTCTCGCGACCGGGCGAAGGTTTCGCTTTCGTCATCTCTAGCCTCGATTGAGGCGCAGACTTCGTTCTGTCTCGTCGCGAGTGGGACCATTTCATGTCTCCCGTGTCTCTTCTCGACTTGTCCTTTCCTCCAAAGTGTTTATAGATTTCAGATTTGCGTCGATAGGTCTAGTGTTGTTCAATTGTAAAAAAGAAAAAGAAACCATTCTCCGGGTGAATAATCACGCCCAATCTTTTGTAAATGTTGCTAGTGTGAATTAGCCTCTTTCTGGAGGAAAATTCGATCGGGGGGTGGCACCATCGCGATGGCCGAAGATGGGAAGATAAACGTGTCTGGCGCTCTCAATTCTAAGAAAGGATATGAGGGATATGCTGGACTGTCGTTTTCCCTGACGTAACACGATGAACCGGGAAGGGGATACCCATATATATATAATGTTGGGTCCTAAATGTTTAATAAAGAACGGCTTTTTAAGCGATTACCTGGTAGGGCAGTGGCCTGCTTCCCACCAAGGCGCATAGATAGTGGAAAGGAAATACCAATGGTGCCTGTCCCACCCAAACCAATCTAGGTTTGAATTTTTCTTAGTTGTGGCATCATCATGTTTCCATGAATCCGATTCAAGCGCTGCGCCACGACGTTCGTCGTGACAAGGTTTATTTTCGACGATACGGGAAGTGGAAGGGAAACAGAGTCGATCCATATCAGGACATACGATTCTCAAGAGGCAGTGCGAAACATCGCAAGCATCGGGAAAGGGTGAAGGGAAAGGGTGCCTCTCGTTAGTAGAGTTCCAAAAGGCGGTTCACTGCCGTCCGAGGATCCCAGAATCGTGCAGTTGCCGATCGTTACGCGGGCTTTCGAGAAGAATGGTGGAGGTGGGCGATGAGTGGGCCAGTCCAATCCGAAACGGGTGGAGGGGTGGACGGATGAAGGGATGAGAGGTGAAAGTGGAGGGGACATCCGGCCTCTTTACGGAGAGATGGACGGGACCGATCGGACTCTGATTAGGAAAAACCGGATTCCTTTCTAATTACGTTGGCTGCTTTCGTTGGCTGCTTTCGTCACGGGCAGAGATTTTTCCCGGACGTGGCCTACTTCGATGAGCAAACCTGTTGCTGGCTTTCTTGTCGGTAAACCTATTTCTGCTTTGATGATCCCGAACGTGCAGAAGAATGTTCCCGTCATTATATCCCCGCTGGGGGAACTCGAAATCAGCTGGAATGACGCCTCCGGTAGGCTGTCGGATCGGCGAGTAGCGTGTACGAGTCTGGATGAGACTCGATGCAAGACGGAACTCGCTCTGTCCTCTGCCCGATGCAGCTGCCATTACTCGGTACTTGCTTGCTTGAAAATTTCTCTGGGGTCACGAGCGATTTCATTCATTTTTCCGAGCACCTAGTATGCCTGCTCCTTTCGATGTCTCGGACAACATGAGGCAAAGAAAAAATCTATTAAAGCCGTTTAATAGATTTTTTTTCTATTTCAAGAACTGCGTCGTAATGACACCAATCCAAAAAAAACAGCAGTGGAGGGGCAGCGAACGAGCAAAACGTTAACATCCGACCTCGATCACCCTATTGAGATTCCTGCAACTTTCGGAACGCGAGTTGAACTAAGGAAGGAAATGTCTTTCTAGCGAAATAGAATGCGTTGTAATCGGTGCATGGAACAATATCCACCCAAGGGAAGAAGGCTTTTATTCTTATTGCGTATTTCTACAGAATTTTTTTTAGCATTTCGCCCCTTTGCGAAGCTCGTGTAGGTACCCCCGAGGGTCGCTCCTTCCTTTCTGGCACGATATCATCGGCTTGTATTCCCGTTTTCTCGAACTCCGATCGATAACGTGGAATCTGGATATCCTTACGCACGTTCTACGTCGTCGTAGGGTCGTGCTCGTTACGAAGAATAGATAGAAACCGACTCCAGAAGCAGACATTCACAAGTGAACATTTTTCTTCTCTATCGGTTTCATCTCCCCTTTCATACTAATGAGCCTACTCACGGCCGATCGGTAGTCACCATCCCACCTGTATGCTAAATATCCTGTCGTAATTGGAAAATTGGAATCGATTGAGATCTCCCCCGGTTCCCGAACGCACGCTTTCATCCGCTTCCGGATTTCGTCTTCCCCTCTACCCGCTTCCGGATAAAATTCGCCTTCCCCTCCATCGGGCAGCAGAGTTTGCAAACTCCATCCCCAGACGCGTCCGCAGTCGATGGAAGCACTCCTCCGGGAGGGGACGAATTCCATCCCGGCTCCGCGCTTTCACCCGGGACCTCGACGGCAGGGAGCACGGGGGGGTCGAGCGGCTTTCCATTGGCTCCCGTGGGGAACGGGAAGGTTTTCGGTCTTTCGTGATTCTTCGGGGTTGTCTCGGGCCGTCGGAAATATGGCCAGAGCAGCAATTGAGTGAAATAGGGGACATGAAGCTAATTTTTTTTTATTGGTTTAGAAATGCAATCAAAGTTTTTTTTTACCCACTTTTTTCCACCAACCGCAGAATTCTGTTCCTAATGTGCGACATTTTGTGGGAAGGCGAAATTCAGTATTGAACTCGTGAATAATTACTTATACACGCTCAAAGTTTACTCATTTTGAGTGAGGTATTCGCAAGCCCAATTTTACATTTGATTTTTATACTTTAATCTTTTTCTTCGTGTTAATGATTACTAGAGAAGCCTCGAATTCTGCTACTACACATTTTGCATATTTAGTTTTGAATGTGAAGTTGCAGAGCCAGAAACCCAGAAGACAATCTTTAGTGTTGATCGTCTTCTGCGTTTTTAACTGGTATGGACTGATATCCTGCCTCCTATGCGCATTACGTATTTTTCCTACTTTTTTTCAGGTATTACGATGGACCATAAGCGTGCCTTTCTGCCGTGGACATGGTTGGCTTCCCTGGCCTTCCTGTTGATGTATATTTGGTCTTCAGGTGGGAAAAGACTCACAATTTTTATTAGCATTATCATAAGTCTAAGTTTGGCGGAATCGTACAGCAACAGCCAGTCGCGAACATCATGCCAAACGCTGCATGTGACATGGTAGTCCCGTTTTCCCTCGACAGGTCAATGCTACTCAATAATTATAGTTGGTGCTTAAAATAAGAGAAGAGTTAACTCTTTGTAAATCGAGGGGGTTTAATTCTTTCCTGAATTCGTACGTTACAGCGCATGCTGAGACTTCCGGTACTTAATTTCCCAGAGGTTAAGCACTCGTTGCTGACTGTTTTATGGATATGGAGAAGCACTATGGAAACAGATTGTTCACTTTGACATGTGTCATTGTGTTACTGCAAATGGACAAGCCAAAGAGTACAGAATTGAATCACATCTTCTCCGTTAACACCAAGCAGAAGTAACCGGACCTGAGGCTTCCTCACAGTTGAGGTCCCCTCTGTTGGGTGCAATAACTAAAAATGGCAAATTTCAGGTCGATGAAGCCATTCGCGTCTCGAGGCGAGACCTGTTTTATAGAGACTATTTTACTCCGTGACGAAAAGCCGTCTAACACTAGACTGACAGATATAAAATATAACATACAAATATTCTTTTTGTTGCAGCGGCCCACCCCCAGGGATTGAAGGAGGAGGAGGATCTCCCGAGGGGTTTCTATGGCCATGACTTGTATGTAGACAAGGTCTCGTCTTGTGGAGACCCAATGAGGGTCAACTGGACTATAAGGGTGAGATCGCGGGATATATGATCTGCGAAAATAAAAAAAATTACGATATCATTTTATATCGGCCGATATATGAGCTGCCGAGATGACCCCGTCGATTTAGCCTCAAAAAAAGAATGTATCGGGGGAAATTTTTTTGCCATCCAGCGCGAGGCATCTATGAGTTTGACCGAGGATTATTGTTGAGTGTTACTCTTGTTACAAATGTGGAATTTCCATCCAGGACATCCATCCACCCAATATGTGGAAGTTCACCACCTTCGGAAACTTCTCATTTATGCTGGAGGGACTTGTCGTGGAGGGCCAAAAAGTACTGTTCAGAACTGATGTAGTGCAAATACTGAACGGTTCTTACCATCACAGAGTGAGTTTTTTTTTTCGTCTCCTCCGATTTTGTGATTGGGTCGCATGGAAGCTGATCGGGATTAGAGACTACTGATCCAGCTACTATTCCAGGTCGTCCATATTGAATGCAGAAGTGGGATGAGCGAGAGAAAAGAAATGGAAAGTGTATAATTATAATGCAATGATCTGTTGGCTCAGGGGTCATTGGTGAGAGAGGACGAGGTGACGACCTTCACGGACTGGATTAGTTCCTGCAATAGCCACAATTCTGCTACTTCTTATTCTCCGGCAGGTAAGCAACGTCGATAGCCGGTTGGGAATGGGATGGCGTATGGAATTCTCGTGCTTTGTTTTGTCTCTGGAAATTCTGTAATGCTCGGAGCAGGTTACTTGTCTTCGAGCACTGGATCCATCCAGCAGCCCCATGCTGCTGGATGGGGGGTCATCCCCCCCCCCTTCCCCCCCTGGGATACATTTTTTTAGGTTCAATTCTCAACAAATTAAAAATTTGCCCATAAATACAGGGTGGGTTATCAATTTTTCATGTATCAACCCATTGAGATTTTATGAGCATGCTAGTAGAGTCAACTGAATCTCAATGAGACACAAAGACCATAAAAAAATTTCAGTGTCTCCTTCTTCTTGAGAGCAACTTGCAATCATCGAGTCTTTTGGTTGATTGCATTTAATCCATTGAATCACTGTAAGGGTTGTAAGGGGGCCAGTTGTATTTACTGATAATATCTGATGCATTTTTTGCTTGTTAGGTTTTCGAGCATTGAGCCGTGTGACTTGAAGCAGAGTTCCATTGAAACATCCAACACTGGCCAGCAAAGAGGTGCCAACACATAAGTATCAGATCTTTGTTTTCCTTGTGCAGAAGTAGAAAACCTTGATGTGGTGTGTGCATTCGTGGCATACCCTGTAGATGCACAGTATTGCATCCTTCTCAGTTTAAAAAAAAAATGTGGTAGGCTTGCAGCTCACTTCCAACTTTGCCCGAAACCCACAGGCTTGAGGTCACCCATTTTGAAGTAGCTGCTGCTCATCCACTTGGCTCTCATGACACACTACATCCTCTTTCAATCCCATCAGCCACCAGAACTTTTATTTCAGCAGCTTATGCTTCCCCCCCCCTTTTTTTTTAGTCAGTACCTGCAGTTTGTGGTTGTAGGTTTTGAGATGCAGGCTTTGAAAAATCAAGTTTCCTTCAAGTCTCCTTACAGCTGAATGCCAGCAGATACCTATTCCCAAAATCCAAAGTTTCTTGCCATGGTCATAACAGTGTTTCCTTTAACTGCAGTACAGGCTGGAAAATTGCTGAGCGCTAGCAACAAAATACCTGGTTAAGTCTGAAAATAATCCACATGCATTGTGTTATGTTTTGTTCTCCTTCCTGCTGTCTCATTGCAGGAAGAGAATGAAAGATAAATGCAAGGAGAATGAATGAATTTGAGAGAGGAGTGAAGCATTTCGCTGCAAATGCCTGGAACTCTGCCATGTGTATGAATCTCACAGGGAAACATTGTAAACCATTGGTTCTATCCTTGATCTGATCTCACAGTTTAGTGCCAAAAATACGCTATGGTCAGTGGCAAGCTGACTGATAGGCTTAGATGCAGCAAGATGGGACCCAACATGCCCAGAAATATTGGATGACCTGGCCCTGTTGCCTCATTAATAGCCACCCCAGAATGACTATTACAGTCATGGTCATCCTCAGCAATGAACAATCTGGTATGGAACTCCTGAACTGAACTTGTCTTGCATGATTTGGTTTGTCCTGGTCATCCTCAATAGAATCTCCCTTAGGAACTGGGATGTTGTGGCATTTTGGTTTTGGTGTGCAAACCGTTGAGGACCTTGTGCATGTTATTTTCAATAGTATTTTCATGGTATTTTCAATTTCAAAGGAAATTAATTTCTTAATTTCTTTTGAAATTGGAAATATGGCATGGTGCATTCTCCTTTGGTGTGCCCTATTCAGCTCATACTTTGAATGCCTTGATTCATCAGGAATTTTCCAGGGGAGTGCATTTTATTTTACTCAGAAGCATTAAACCTTGTGAATGATTAGATACTTTTGTGAAGGCTATAACATGTCGAGTTTCAAGACAATTCTCTGTAGCTACCAAGCACTCACTTAAAGTTATAAGAAAGTTTCTAATTGTGGAAAAGGCCATAAAAAAACATTATTTAGTCACCCTATGTAGGGAAAGAGAGAAAGAATTGAAGATTTTGAACTTGAGATTCAAGAAAAGTCTGTAGAGTGAAAACACTGGGCACTGGTCTTCAAAATTCTATCATGTTAATGAGGAAGCAGATAGTAAAGGAGAGGTTTTGTAATTATCTTTAACTGCCATTTCGCTTCAGCACTGTTACAAAGGCAACTTGAATGAAACTTTTGCAGCTTACAGACTAGATCTGTTGAATCTGTTCCCTCTGCACTGAACAGACACTCCTTATGACATCTCTGGCCATTTTCAGCTGGGAATTTTGTGTTCTGCTTTATCATTTTTGGAAATTATGACTTCTCCCAAATAAGCCTTATTTTCTTCAGTTTAAGGCTATTTTGATCTACTGCTGCCTCTCTTCCTCAGAGCCAGTTTCTCCCAACTTTGCAAATCAATTGTTAAAAAAATCATTTTATCCATCCCTTGCCCTTTCCTAACTTTTCTGTGTAATGGACTTTATTCACTGCTTCATCTTCCTCCGTTTTGGTAGACAGACAGGCGAGCACTGGCCTAAAATAGGTATTTTAAAAAAATACAGTGCTTATCAATTATTTTTTCCCTTCAAAACTTTTCCTGGCACAAAAATAAATTTCAGGTTACATTTGCAATACCAATCATGTGGTAAAACAGAAACTGATTGGATTTTTGGATGCTTAGGAAGAAGAGAAGTAATATTTTAAAAGAAAAAGGATTTCTTGTGCCATCAGCTGCCTCATGAATACCACAAAATTTCAAAAAGCAGTTCAATTTTTAATGACTCTCCAAGCATGACCTTTACTAGGTTCTTTAAGTGTCTTTACTGCTGCCCTTGCTCTTTCATTTTGATTTTTCTTGCTGAACTCTATTATACCTGGAAGCTTCCTGTGTTATTAATTCTGCACTTAATTTCTATGTGCTGTGATTGGAATGATTTCCAAAGCATGATGCTATGTGGCTCCTTCATGGTCTATCTTAAAATTTTTTAAAACTTTTTCATGAACCTTCTATTCAGGGCAGGCCATGTAATAGGGCCTTGTATTTTTTATAATGAAAACTGGATTACTATTTGTGGTAACATCATCAAAGAAGATTGATATTAATTTTGGCTACTTTCATTCCAAATTAATATCTTTACAAAAATTATAAATGGAGGGGAAGACAAAGACTCATGGCTTCAGAATCATGCACCATGATGATCAGCTTTGAATGAAATAAGCACTTTATTACATCATAACATGGGATTTTTGTGAGTTGAACAATGAATACAATCAGAGAAGGGCAGAGTAGAGTTGGGTTCCTCTATTCCAACATTCCCATCTTGGTGAATGAGCTTGCATTCTTGTGGCAGGACCAGAAATGATGTCGGCTGGCTGACTCAACCTTCACACCTTCCTGAAAAGAATGTTGTCCCTGCCCTCAGGTGCATCTAATCATGCTAGCCCTGTGCCACCAAGAAGCATTAACAAAAGATCTGATTAAGGAAATGAATCTCCTAGAGAAGGAGCAGGTCCATCAATACTAGGTGGATGTTGAAAAAAAGCAACAGGATATGGAAGAGGATTTCTGGAAGACCCCAAGCACGGAACATGAGCAGATAAAGCAGATAAATGCTCCGTGAATTGGGTGTGTGCTTATGGAGAACTAGCTATTAATCAACTATGAAGTAGAAGGCATGCTAGAAATAATTAAATGCAAGTGCCATGAGAGAGAAATGTGTTACTGGTGTAGGTGCTCACGGCAATCCTATTCTCTCTCAACCCTACCATCATACTAGCATTGAAATCCACTTAAATGTCTTTAAACAAAGTTCACTAGTTGCCATTCCCTTCCTAACAAGTTGGTTTGGGCTGGTAACTTCTCCTCACCCACCTAATCTTTGGCAATACTGACAAGTTGCAATGCACCAACTAGGAATATGTGTATGTACAGCAACACCACACACTATAGGCAACAGAGAGAGATAAAAAAGATGAGAATATTTTCATATTTTGATGTTGATAAGCAGCTTCTCTCTCATTTTCTGAACCAGGTAAACAATCCAGTAGATCAAATGAATCTTGAAGGGTATGCTGTCAAAAGTTGCCTCAACATACAGAGTTAATCATATATCGTAGTTGATGATAAGAGAAAATATACAAGGTATAATTTATTAAATTGGTGTCCTTTTGCATAAGTTGTAAAATACAGTATATTGGGTACATTTTGCTGGCTGATGCTACTACCACCTGTCATTTTAGAAGTGAAAGTAGCAATCTGTCTCAGCAAAGACATTTGCTCAACATATATGGTATGTTTCATGCTCTGAAGACTCTAAATAATACAGTCCATCATCAACTACAGTGTATTTTCAGGCTTCGTTGTGGATGCCTGTTTTGATGTGACACTAAAAGAAAAATTCAGAGTGGCCTTGGCAGCAGACTGCTAAAACTTTTTTGTACAATAGATAGGTACATTTGGAATTACATTTGATAGTGTCATAACTGTTGCAGTCACAAGTGAATAGTGGAATGAATATGAAATAGCCAAATGGAATAATTGCTCCAAGTTGACAGTAATGATTGTATACATAGGTGAAAGGTTTGGAAGCAAACTGCTCCTTAAGTGATCCATAATTGCAACCTTTCCATAGAGATTCCATCCTGCATGATTGTGGGGGAGTAGACCTTGCCCTTAGAAATAATCTTGTTAGCTTGTCTTGGGAGTTGTGGTCCAGGCATGAGCCACAACTCCCAACTTCCTGCACATGGTTGGATTTGATGGCCATTTCTGTTTATTTTCTAATACCATATTTGATTTGGATTCATGATTTTTACTTGAAAACTCATTTTGGTATGTTTCCTGTGGTATGTTTGGTTTCCTCATGCATTTTGCAAAAGTTCAGTTTGTTGACATTATGATTTGATTCCAGTGATGGTGGTTGCTGCCCTACTTGCCTGTGGTGCACCCTGCATCTTTACTTGTGATTGATGTCATTTTTACGTCCTCCTCCTTTACCCTTGTCAACCGCATTCTTTGTAATCATTAGAGATGTAACAATCCAACACTGATATTGGAAGGAAACCCTGTCAAACACTAAGTGTAGAACATACTTGTTTGAATATTTGGTATTGGTTTGCTATTGTATTATGTATTATGTTTGCTATTGTATTATGGTATTATTATTACATCATCAACCTGCCCTCTGTACAAGCTAGCATAATAAATTTAAAAAACACTGTAAGCATTTACATTGGCATTTACTTTAGCAGATTAACAACACTTCATATTAAAATGTGCATGATTCAAAAATCAATAGTTTCTGTGTGGATGCCAATTATGTTCACCATACTTGTGTTTGTGGCCATGACTCTTGTTATGATGAAAGTTGTAAATGTGCAGGATCATGTTTCAACATGTATAGTGTTGAGCAGAGTGAAGCATCATTGATAAATGTGTGATATATGTTGAATAGTCTGAACTAACATACCAGGCAATACAATTATTTGAAATCATGAATTTTCACTGCTACTATGCAATAGGGTCAATCCAATCATGATTTTTGGACTACCCTATACTTATTACACTAGAGGGAACCAGAGTTGATAACTTTAAATTCCATACCTCAATTTTTTTTACCCCTTGAGTGGGGAATCTGATTGATTCAAAAGCAGACTCAGGCATGTGCTATGTTAGTATAATTTGGATACATTAATCATGGACTTTGAATAGTCAATGAGGAAAGAAAATTATTAATGCCAACTGGTATATTTCTCCTTACAGCTGGCATGGATGCAGGAGTGATTGCAGGAGTGGTGATAGCAGTGATTGCTTTGGCAATTGTCATTATATTGGTGGTCATAGCACGTGTAAAGGGGCTGTTCTGCTTTGCAGGTAAGGCACCACAACTGCTATCCCTTCATTCTAATCTGCACACTCAGTCTGGCCCTGGACAACATGACAAGAATTGTCATCCCTCTCTTCTATTGTCTCCCCTCAAAAAATCTCATGATGAAGAGACTGCAACTGCTTGAACTTTGCATGCTTGGTCTTATTTTTCTCCCTTCTCTTTGCTTTGTTGTTTTGTCTTGGTTACTTAAATGCTTTATAGATATTATCAGTTGGTCATGATGCCTGACTATGGCTCACTTACAATGTTATTCCAACCTGGCATGCAGTAGCTCTCGAGTACAAAGTAATATTTTATATTATCATGTCTGGGTGTTTCATTTCTTGTTTGTGTCCTTCCATTCAGAAAAGCAGAACAAATCTGTTTTGGGTTTCTTGGTGGCAACCTCTTTTCAGCTTTGCTGCTGGTTCTCTCTCGCACAAATTGGTGATGGGTTTGTTGTGCATATCCACCATCCTGGATGGTGGTGTCTTCGTGTCTGACCTCCTCCTGGTGTTTGTAATATTTTATCCCCATGCCTTGTCCCCCTTTGCTGAGAAGCTTTACAAATAGTGATATGCTTGGAAGGAAGGGCTCAATATGAGCAAGGCAAGTGATGGCACTAAAAAAGGAAATGAGTCCCTCCCTCTGTAATTTTTTTTCCCATCCTTCCTCTTCACTAACTATTGTAGGATTGCAGTGGGTCTTATAAAGATATCCTGGGTGTTCACTTGCCTTCTCACTTGGTCTCTTCCTTCCTTGCCACAGACAGGGTGAAGACACGGGGGGAGTCTCTGGCACGCATCGACTCAGAGAGTCCAAATCCAATTCTAGATGGAACTGTGAACCCAGCAGCAGATATTCACAAGTCCTCAGAAGAGACAGCCAGGGAAAATGGCCACCAGGAATCAAATTCAAATGGCAAGATGAATGGACACAAGGATGATATTCCCATCCCTAAAGACACTCCTGTTTGAGATAATGAGATCAGCAGCAACCAATTGTTAAATTTCTCCAGGAAAATGGCCACCAGGAATCAAATTCAAATGGCAAGATGAATGGACACAAGGATGATATTCCCATCCCTAAAGACACTCCTGTTTGAGATAATGAGATCAGCAGCAACCAATTGTTAAATTTCTCCTCCCCCTCCCCCCCATATTCTCTGTGATCTCATGGAGTTGTGGATGTGTTCTGTGCTTTATCTGCAAGTATGTGTTTGACATGACTTCTTTCCCTGACTTTTTTTTTTTTACAAAAACATCTTGGACCATACCTGAAACATCATCAGTGATCCTATGCTGCCTTCTCAATCAAACACAGATGGATGTTGCCTGTGATTTGCTCTCGTTATACTTCTGTGCCACTATCCATTTCTATGATTGACATGGTTTTGAAATGCTTTCATTTCATGAATAAATTGTGCAATGACATTTTCAAGTAGAGATCACATCTAGGGTGGTTTAATTTCTGCATGAAACCCATCGATGAGCCAGTATGCATGCAGGCAGTCATGATCCTTTCACTCCTCCTTTTTTGGCATGCATGATGGAATTGGATTCTGGAACCTACACAGCACTTTCTAGTATATTTCTCCAATTCAGGTAAGTCATGTCCATGGGTCTCCGTTTGGATTCATTTTTTATCCTGTTCAATTCACAAGTCTTACACCTGATAATTCTGATAAATCTGGTTTATTTTTCATTCCCTTGCAGCACAAGAGGGAAGGAAGGAAGGGTGAGTGTCATTGTATTGTATGATTATGAGAAAGGGAAAAATTCTAGACTAATGCATGTGTGGCGGTGGCCGAGTGTGGCCTTTGCTGCTGCTGAAATTGGGGGCCGAGTTGGGAGTCTTGCATTTTAGTTCGAATGATTGGGACTCGGTCGAACTCAGAATAAGGCCCTCGCGGGTTTATTTAATGAACTTTACATAGCACTACGAAGAAAAATATAGAATACTCACAAAAGGAGAAACATGGCCACGGCCATGGTGGAGGCTGGAGGTGGGTGGGCCACGCAAATCTGGGAAACTGCGCCCAGGACGGGGTTACAATCAAGACTGTTCTTCTGCCTCTAAGGGCATCCAGAAAAACCTTACTACCTCTCCCCTTAGTCAGTGACTGGGGCCTACTTCCGAATAAGGGCATCCTTTCCACCGCGTCACTGGCTAGGAGGCGGTCGCACGAAAATTTACTGCTGCTCGCGAAGAAGCATGGCCAATCCACCTCGCAGATAAGACATGGCAAACCTACATACAACTTCTCCACACATGTGCCTCTGGGTAGTAGCAAGACGGAGAGTGCAGACCGAGCCCCTGCTCATGGTAAAGGAGGGAAGCCACTTGCAAGTCGACTCTCTGATCTCTACAATCGTGTCACCAATCCCAAAAAGGAGAAGAAGAAGGACATGGCAGATGTGGAGGCTGCTAAGAAGGTCTTCTTTTCTCTTTTTCCACATCTAGTTCACTCCACTGGTAACAATCTTCTGGAGTGGAAGAGTTGAATCGAAACTTTTTTTTTGTGTAGGAAGTGCCGCTGACTGAGAAGGAGAAGAAGCATGGGGAATCAGAAGGGGAAGAGGAGAAAAAGGAAAAGGAGGGTGTTGTATATGCAGAATTGGATCTGAAAGAGAGTGGAAAGAAGTTCCCTCCAAAGAAAACAAGTCCCGGGGAGAGTACAGAATACGTGGAGATTGTGGGAACCGTCCCACCGCCACCACCTTACTCTGAACCCCCTAAATAAAGGACGCACTGAGAATTAATACCCATGTACTCAGGCATTCAGTCAGTCTCTTTTTATGCTTGCCTTGGCTTCTTTTGTGTTTTTTTTTGTATTTGACAAGTGGCCTCTGAACCTAGGATTGTGGCCTATGACCTCAGATTCTCCCTGAAACATTCCATTTTTCCTCCACTGTAATATAATGATGGCTTGAGTGGCATGAGTGAATCATGGGATGATTGAGTTGATTGTGTGGTATTGAGAAAGGAGGATGAAGAGTGTACAGTTTATTGAATTATGACTGAATCGTGTTTTCGTAAACCTAGGTTTTTTATTATATTGTCACGGTAAGAGAGTATAAATAATGCGACCCCGCATAGGATGTTTGACCCCTGACCTCCAATTATAGTCCCCGCCACTAGGTGTCACTAGTGAGCTCCGGTGTTCTCTATTCAGAGTATATAGCGGATTAAAATATATGCGCTGGTCCCGATGCAATAGTTACATAGAGTATTTTTAGAGATACATGCTAAGAAATAAGGAAGAACAGCATGCCTTTCAACCCTACATGCTGAGGAGTCACCAGCAGGAACGAACGGCCGCATCACGGCCGTTCGCAAGCCAGCCCCAGGAAGGACTCTCGGGAGAGGGAGAGGGAAAGGGAACCCTCAGCGAGGCAGCACAAGTCAGGCTCGACCTAAGCCCTGAACAGTGCGAACCCGTCGTGACCCGAAAAACAGGCTCGACCTAAGCCCTGCTAAGTACGGTCAAACCATTCTGCGACGGCCCGGCTAGACCGCAGCCCGGGAAAAGATAACAGGCATCCTACTTGAGACACAGCCCTCATCCCTCCTCTCTGCTGCAGTGCGAGTGGAGACCTTAGGGACATCCACGACGGTGGAGTGGGACCCTCCGAGAAGAAGACTCCCAGCGACACCGGCCCCCGGACACCAGGACCCCGCAGCGCTTCCAGACGAAGAACTGGTCTTATTACTGGACGAATAGAGAAATAATAAAAACACGTGTTGTCACCGTATCCCTTTGTGACCTTATTTCCACCCGGACCCCACAACGGACTACGACACGAAAAGTCGTACCGTAGCAATATATTAGGTCGTTGTGATTCCTCTGTGCCCCTTATTCCCTGCTCAAAGAACAATTTGAAATAAAACACCCTTTTTCTAATGCCTGTTTTTTTTCCCATTGCTTTTACCATCGCATTTCTCATCCGATTTCAATGCTACTAGAACTACAGCGGCCTCTTAGCGGATGCCGAACTTGTCATATGATAATTGACATTGGAATATTTATTTTATGGGGAGAATTTAATGTTGCGCTGTTGTTGATAAACCTGTAATCGGTGAAGTTACACGTGCATGCAGTACTTCGGTTCATGCAGATGTTTGTTTTCTTGGGAAGCGTAATCATTTCGCTGGAGAAGACGGATTTATGGTTAACGACGGAAAACATGGTCAGGATGGTGGTTTCCTCGCAAGTGCTCTTCATGGAAAGCTAGGCTCAAGCGTCCTGCATCATCTGTCTCTGATATACAGGAATGTTGCTTTATTTATCCTCAAGCGAAGGCCAATAGAAGTAGGCTTAAAAGTCTTGCTTCTCGTAAGTCATGTCACCGAGCCGGACCTGTTAAATGGTGCTCCTGCAGATGCCCTTTCCTCCTGAGGATTATCATCGGAGTGATGAAAGAACCTTGTCCATGATGAGAAGGAAAAACGGGAGGAAAAAAAAGCTGGAATCTCAGCAGGGAACGGAAATGAGCCCATCTCTCTCCCTCTCTCGCCGGCAAACAGACCGTACATATAAGTACATATAAAGTCGGGGTCCCAGGACCCCAAAGGACGACAGACGGGACACCATACTATACTCTTCCCTAGAGATTTCTCATCTGTTCTTTTATTTTCCATGAGGGGGATTCTTCCCCCGAGCGGCGAAATGAGGTGCTGCATTCCTTATTTGTTCGTTACACTCGAATTACTTGAAAGAAAGAGCGGATGTGCTGTCTTATTTGGATGTGGTTTTGGGGTTCTCTGCTTGCATAATGTGGGGGTAAATTATGCACAGTTACGCATCTTAGTCCGTTATCGATGCTCAGCCATGTTCTACTGGATGTCGGTGCGTGAGAGAATAAAGGCTTCGTGCCGATAATGAAACAACGGTCCCGTTTTCCCCCTTTTTATTTGATGACATATAATAAGCATTGAGAAAAGTGGCATCCCATGGAGGGAGTCAGGACACGAATGACACTCGGCTCTGCATGACCTGGCCCTATGCCCAGTCGCTTCTCACTTGTCCTGTGTCGGGGATGTCACATTAAAAGTAAAAGCAACTTTTTTTCGAACCGGACGGGTGGTCAAGAATTCCAAGGACAATAATGCTGAAGGAGGAAAGATGTGTCGGTGACTTTTCCCTTTCAAAGAGATTTCTATTCACTGCATTTCTGGTTCTTGGAGCCAGGAATGGGGAAAAGTTGGAGACGGGGATGAAATGTGATTGCGTTCTTCCGTCTTATGTGATGACATGATCCCTTGGGGACTGGCGGAAAGAAGATCCCGAGGATCTTCTGTCCTCAAGCCCTTTTCCCCCTGATTTATTATTATCAGCATTCATACGATGAACCTCGAAATTGTCTCTTTTAGGAAAGAAAGAAGAAAGAGAAAGAAGAAAAAGAGCTAGAGACGAAAGATTTTCTTCTCTGCCGGGCCATGAGGAAGAGGCGCCTTCGGTGATTGCGTTTCATTTCTCTCCGGGAAATGAGATCTCTTCATCGGGGTAACTCTGCTTCCCTTTCCTTCTCCGAAAGGGTAGGAAAAAAGAGAGAACGGAGGATTAGGAAAGAAACGGAAGAAAGGAATGGGACATATACTGGAATGCGCGGGTGTGGATCTTCTCCGTCCGAGTTTATG